TATGACGTAAAAGCATCATAATCATTTTATACTAATCCTGTGTCAATGGAATCTTGTTATATGATGTAATCTTAGGTATGGGGTTGTTTGGCAATAGCTGGAAGTATTAGCGGTATGAATTGGCTTTTTAAGTTTGTTGTTTAAGCTGGCTGTTTACAAAAGTGTTTGGTAAAATTATTAATGGTTGTTGGCTGTTAATTAGTGATAAAGTGGGCCAATAAGTCAAAAACCAATAGAAAAAGCTACTCCTATTAGCTTTTGGATTTTGGCGGAAAATCCAGCTTAAAAGCCAACAAAGAAGCCAACTACCAAGCATATTTTTTTTGGCTATTTGACCAAATTAAAAAGCCAAAAGCTAGGCAAAAAGCCAATTGCCCAACACCCCCATGATTTCAGCAGCAGATAGTTCGACTTCCCAACTAATGCTATCTAGAAGTCCAATTTCTGTAAGTGTCAAGAAGAGTTGGTTAGAAACATCCTTATGTATTGTCATTAGATTTATTTTCTTTGTGGAGTTTTGAGATTGATTACTTTGCTTTTAGAAGACGTTGATGCACTTTTGCTGCTAGTATACTAATCCCTCTGATTATTTTTATTCTTCCCACTGGGAACTTAGTACTATTCGTAAGTTGAGAAAAACTTCTAAATTTCTCTTAATAACATGAATGTCATGTTAGATCTTATCTTAATTCATCTCAATGAGTAGTTTTTTAATATTCAACCGTTGCATTTTTTAACTAATACGTGTATGAAAGTATAGATATTTATGCCTTTTATGGTCAAAGTAATGCATTGTGAAACGTACACATTTAAAATGGTAAGAACATTTGGGATCGGATGGAGTATCAGATACTTGTTATTAATGAGATCTTTATATGGTTATCGACTTTGGTTAATGGTGAGCATGGAATTATAAAAATACTGATGCAAATATGGTTGCTGAGGATGAAGTGATAATCTGTAGAGTAGAAGTCAGTTAAGTGTCATTGTTTTTTGTTTTGTTTTTTGTTTTGTTTTGTTTGTTTTTGTTTTTCTTGTTTTTCTCCAAAAGGGAGAAGGGTTTATTTCCAGGAGGGAGAAGGGTACTTCTTGTGAAGCAGTGAAGAATAAGTTAGTTATTGGCATATCTCTTTCTATATTTTTTTACTTGTTGGGGGTGGTATCAAACAATAATATGGGTTCACTGTGCTAATTGAAGAGGATCGATCCTTTTGCTTAGTACTTTTCTTTTGTAGGAGGGCGATTGGACATGTCTTACTCTGATATCTTGGGTACTTTGATCTTTTGACGTGTCTTACATATTAAATGAGTAATAATACCCCATTCCAGGGTACATTCTTGTTCTGAACTTCTGATGCATAATTAGTAGCACAACTCTCAAGGCCACTATCTATTGAAAAGTTGAAGCTACCAGTGCTGCACCATGGTTCATGTTGTGATTTGCCTACAGCGGAAAGTGTTTTTAAGTTCTTGAGGATTGGTTTGTACAAGTTTTATGCGAAGTATGTAAATTTTTTCTCTGCAGTTTTTGGAAAACAGCCTTTCTACTAGTTCTAAGGCTTTAACTCGCTTGAGGTATGGTTGTGTCACTTGTGTGTATATTCTGAAATTAGGATCCACTGATCTTAAAAGTGGATAATCACTGATTCATATCAGGATCAAAAATAAAGTTGGAAAAGTTATGGAGACTTTGTACTAGTTTTCATAATAAAATTGGGGGTATCTGGGCAATATGAAGTAGATTCATTGCAATTATAAACATTATTTATACCTCATTAATATGGATGGATTAAAAGGAAACACATTGAGCAGTTGGTTTTTTTTTAAAACATGTAGTAGTCAAAATAACTCTTCTGAAATTTTTTTCAGGTTGCAGAGAGGGCATTGTTCCTCTGGAACAATGACCACATTGAAAACTTGATCAAACAAAACTGCAAGGTTATTCTACCTATTGTCTTCCCTGCACTGGAAAAGAATGCAAGAAATCATTGGAACCAGGCTGTTCACAGCTTAACTCTCAATGTGCGTAAGATTTTCTCCGACCTTGATCCTGAGCTTTTTGAGGAATGTTCACTCAAGTTTCAGGAAGATGAATCACAGGAAGAGGAAATGAGAGCAAAACGTGAAGCAACGTGGAAAAGGTTAGAAGAAATAGCTGCTGAAAAAGCAAAAAGTAGTGAACCTGTCCTCGTCCCCCTCATTTTACCAGCCCGTACCACTTCCGGTCTTTGATCCAAAGATCGATCTTTTTTTTTTATGCCAATATCATTAACTGACAGGGTTCTGGTGATGGAGTTTCGTGTATGGTCATTGATTCAATTCGTTACTATCCTCCATGTATTTTTGGCCGAATGTCCAAAAAAAAAAAAAAAAGCAAAGAAAACGCGTTAGCCAATATTTGTAGTTTATGTTTAAATTTCTAAAACTCTTTAGTTTAGATTTACTTAGGGCTTAAAAGTATGAGTAGATATATTAATTGAAGAGAGTAAGGAGAATTGGCATAAGATTAGGATTTTCTGCAATTTTTGCAGCAGTTGGAAACTTTGTACAGTTGTGATATTCCTGGTTTGGCTTTATTATATAATTAATGGCTGCTTTTAAAGTTGGTTTGTCTGATAAATTCAAATTAACCAAACATTCCTTAAGTTGTTTATTACTGTCAAATTGCTTTACTAATTAAGGTGGGAGTGCTGCATAGTTGTTGAGGGGACTTGGTGCACCACTTTTTCTCAGACATACTAATGACCATTATAGTAGGCTCAAAGGGTAGCCCTATAATTGTCATGGACCCATAATTCTCATGAAAAAGGCTGGCTTTGCAAACACCTTTTAGAGTTTTAGATGATTGGATGTATTTTACATGTCTTGAATACGACGGATTGACAGTTTTAGGGGTGTAAATCAGTTGAGACTATCTGTAAACATAGCTTTTTGAAATTTCGCTTAAAACTCATTTGTTAATGTTGTTTATTTGAATATGATAAATGAGTTGAGTTTGAACAAGTATTTACGCTCGTTTAATTAATGAGTCAGAATATGAATCAAGGATCTAATCATTCATATTTGTTCATGTTTACTTTTGTTCATGAATTACTTGTTTTACTTTTGTTCATGAATGTGGGTTTGTTTATACTGAGTATTTATTAACGAGCTAGATTCATTCATTTAAAGTTGGATTGTTGTTTATAAAACTAATTAAACTTTTAAATTCAACATTATTAATTCATTTTATTTTAAATGTTTGGTTTATCAAGCAAATTGATAGACTAGATCCTTTTGACTTATATATAATTTTATGTTTAACTATAATTGCGATTTGACACTTATCCATAATTTTGAGATTTTAAAAGAATCATTTTATGAACTAAGTTTTATTGCGTATTTTTATGATACATACACCAACAAGAGAATACCATACATATATTCTATAGATAAAGGCCAACATTCTCTATTTATGCAAAATTGACAAACTTTTTTGGATGTATTCCATATCATGTATCATTTTCTGAGAAGGTAAGTGTGTTATCAAAGGTTCAATTGGATAAGGTGGAAAAATAAAAATAATGCGAGTACCAAATTTAGGGTGAACTAATCACCATAGAATCAACACTATCTAAAGTCTAATATGTCAAAAAAGAATTTTGGGAAATGTTTTGAAAGGTACACACTAATTTTAGCCCCTCATATATTTCTATATGAGCAGAATATTTTTTCCCTTGGCCCTTGCTTTTTTGTTTTAAAAAATACTGCCCCTACTTATTTGGAGTAATTCTTTGCATAAAAAAAAACATGTCTTAAAGTTAAATTGATAGATTTATACTTTCTTGATTTAAAAAATTAATAATGTGAAATTGCGTTTGGCGATAAATCAAACAAGTTTCTAAATAGTTACTTTTTCTTTATGAGAATGGCAAAAAGAAACATATATAAGGATGTAATTTTTTTTGTGTAATTTTTTTTTAAAAAAAATATATATAATCACCCACTCCTATAAACATGAAAATATCGTTGTCAAAAAAAAAAAAAAAAAAAACATGAAAATATCCTTCATATAATTTCAATGAAAACTTGAAAATATAACTTAATTTTTATTAAACATGAAAATATCCTTCATATAATTTCAATGAAAACTCTTCACCAAAAAAAAATAAAAATAATTTCAAAAAACTTTACAATATGTAACTTGTTTTTGTGAAATTTCAAATATATCCTTTATAAGTTTTACTATATTACTATGAGTATTAAAAATAACATCAAAATTTATGGAGTACGGAGTACTTATTTACGGCAATACAAATAATACTTCTCATCCTCTCAAATTTGCCATTGCACCAATTTGACTATTAATATACTCCATGTGTAATTGATTTTTTTTTAAAAACCAATATATATAATTAATTATACTTATATATTATTAAACAAAAAAAATGTATAAATAGTTGATACCATGAAAGTACATACTAGTTTTAAAAGTAATTCAACATCTTTTGAATGTGCATGTCTGATAAAGTGTTAATTTACCAACTGTTTTTTTAGTTACAACACTTCTTTTATCATGCATATTGATGCGTGTTTTCAATCGTAAATATATTTAATTACCAATATGTAAAAGTTATAAACATTTTATATTAAAATTGTATAAAATCGAGATGAATCTAATAAGATTCCACGTGACTATATTTTTACTTAACTATGGAGTATAAATCATCAAAACTCGTCAAAGTAAAACACACAAATGGTGTAAAAGTCAAACAGTTACAAATTATATAAAAAAACGGAGAAAATATATTTGCATAATAATAAAAAAACGGAGGGAATACAAATTACTTGTATAGTTGTATGCGCTAAAAAAATGGAATATGGAGTAACTTTTTACACATTTTTTTTTTGGAAACAAACTTTTTACACATACTTATTACTTACCTAATTAATTATTTTATATATATTTCATATTTGTAATTACATTCTCTCAAACAAGGAAAAAAAATTCTTTCAAAAAAAAAAAAAAAGGAAAAAAAAAAGTAAAAAAGGGGTTTGGAAGTTTGGATTGTATTTTAGAGTAATGTATAATCCACAAGTGAGTCCATATCTGGGGGCTGTTCTGCTCATCATTTTCTGTCTTTCTCTCTCCTCTTTTCTTTCAGAATCAGAAATAAAAACCCCAATTTGAATTTCAACTCCTCAATTCTTCTAGATCACCTTACTTCTTGTCTTGCTTCAGTAAGCTTCTTCAAATTTCCCCTTTTTGTTTTTTTTTTCTTTGTCACCTATAAATTTTCTCCTGTTTTTTTAAAGAAAATTTATTTATTCTTCTGTCTAAAATTCAACTCTTTTTTTTAGAAATTCTTTTCCCATTTACTTTTTCATAAAAATTCTGACAGAAAAATGTTTTCTTTGATGTTTCAGATCATACCCAGATCTTGTCAGTTACTTCTCCACCAGTTGAACTGACGCCTTCATTCGACTCACAAAGAGGTAATTTTTTCAAATTTTTATTGCGCATTTACATATTTTTATTTTATGGGTGAAATGTCAACTTTTGGGCCTCCTTTTTATTTTTTATTTTTAATTTTGGGTTTTGTTTGGTGATGAATTTGATTATTTTCCATCTTTATTGGAAAGGGAATTTAATTAAATTTCTGGGTTTTAATTTAGAAGTCAAAAGGTTGTCAATTTATATTGTTATCATGTGAACATTAATAATTAAAATTTGATAATTATTGATCTGGGCTTTTTGTGCAGTGTTTATATCTTCCAATTTAGAATCTAATTTTCTGATCCAAGTTATTATAATGCTAAATTTTGTTGGGTTGTTTTTATTTTTTGAGGAATCTAATATTGAAAAATTGATGAACTTTTGATCAAAAAGTTCTCTGTAGGAGGGCTTGTGTTCTAGCTCATCAGTGCAAGGGGCAGCTATTTGAATTTAGTACAGATGAGAGTTTTTGGAATTGGGGTTTTCTTATTTGATTGAACTGTTTAAGGTTTTTGATTCGATTTTGGCTGATGATCTTTGATTCTGTGCCTTGGAGAAGGTTCTGTTTGGGTATCCTTTAGGTTGAAGTGGAATAATATTCTTATCTTTACATTATCTGCTAAGATATGATAAAGCAAATATTGGGTAGGCTTCCTAAGAAGCCATCTAAGTCTGCTGATGCCCGCGATCCTCTCTCTTCGGGTGCTTTAGCTGGTGCTAGGACTGGTGATGCAGCTGGCCATAGACCAGGAAATGGAAAGGATGTGTCTCACCAAGGTTTCCATCCATCTTCAAATTCGGGTGTGGGTAATGGGAATAAAACCGCGCAGGTAGATGATTTAATTGCTAATGAAAGCTACACTGCCAACCCGTTTGAGGCATTGCCTAGTTTTAGAGATGTTCCGAGCTCTGAGAAGCAGAATTTGTTCATAAGGAAGGTTCACTTGTGTTGTCATATTTTTGATTTCACTGACCCCACAAAGAACCTGAAAGAAAAGGAGATTAAGAGACATACATTGCTGGAGCTTGTGGAATATGTAAGCTCCGCCAATGGTAAGTTTACAGAAAATGCGATGCAAGAGCTCATTAAGATGGTGTCTGCAAATTTATTTAGGTCACCCGCTACTCAGCCTCGTGAGAATAAGGCTTTAGAGGCTTATGATTTGGAAGAGGAGGAGCCTTCAATGGATCCTGCATGGCCTCATTTGCAGATTGTTTACGAGCTCTTTTTAAGGTTTATAGCATCACCTGAGACTGATACAAAGCTGGCCAAGAGGTATATTGATCACGGTTTTATTCTTAAGTTGTTAGATAATTTCGATTCTGAAGACCCGAGAGAGAGGGAGTATTTGAAAACAATTCTTCATCGCATCTATGGCAAGTTTATGGTGCATCGCCCATTCATTAGGAAATCAATAAACAACATTTTTTATCGTTTTATCTTTGAAACTGAGAAGTTTAATGGGATTGCGGAGCTTTTGGAAGTTTTGGGCAGCATCATTAATGGGTTTGCTTTACCTTTAAAGGAGGAGCACAAGTTGTTCCTTGTCCGCGTCCTGATTCCCCTCCACAAACCAAAATGCTTGTCAACATACCACCAACAGTTATCTTATTGCATCACTCAGTTTGTGGAGAAGGACAGTAAGCTTGCAGATGCTGTAATTAGGGGTTTATTGAAGTACTGGCCAATTACCAACAGTACAAAGGAAGTTATGTTCCTCAGTGAGCTGGAGGAGGTTTTGGAGGCAACCCAATTGCCTGAATTCCAGCGTTGCATGGTGCCATTATTTCGGCGCATTGCTCGTTGCTTGAGCAGCTCCCACTTTCAGGTTATTGCTATTTCCAGTATTTATCTTCTTGTCAATCCATTCATTTGCCTTTAGACCTCCGGGTGTTTATTATTCAACAAGTGGTGTGCACATTTCTTCCCTGTCAACTCTTAAGTATTTTTTAGCCTGTAAATTCTGAAGGTTGAATTGTTTTGCATTTGATCTCCCACTCCCTCTAATTTGAATGGAAAGCGGAAGGAAGTTTGGGATGATTTTAAAAGTATATATATTGAAAGGGGAATATACTGATAACAATGATAGGTGATGATAACACGATTTTGGGATTAGAGATTTGGAGCTTGGTTTTTTCTTTGTTTAAAGGCAAGTATGCCATCAATTTTTTTGCGTACCTTTGGCCTTTATTGTCCTATGGGTGTTGTGCTTCAGTTTCAACGAGGCTTTTGTGGCACATTGATCTAAGTATCCAACAGTAGCATTTTTGGTATTTATGTCATGTTTCCAAAATCTTAATTTCTTTTGCCCTTTTCCATAAAAAAATCCTTTAGGGCCCAGCTGGCTAATTTCCACTCACTAGCATCTCTCTTTTTTTTTTTTTTTTTGCCTTCTAGACGAATTTCCTAAAGATGACTTTTGTGATTGTACGATGCCTAGGAATGCAAAGCTATTTGATCAGAGTAGCTATATGTGATCATCCTGATATCTGTGGGGTATGGTATTTTAAAGCTGCAGTCACCTGCCATTGAATAGTATGATCAAGAAGTGCTTGCTGTTTGTTATTGGTGGAGAAAATATATATTTTGAGGAGCTTTAGTCAAATCTTCTATGTGAGTCTCATGGTAAATTGTTTAATGTGAAGGGTTGACAACTTAAAGCATCATATTGGCATAGCCACAAACTTTGGCTAGAGAGTAGATATAGTTTCAAATATCTCATGAAATGTCATAAAAATGCATAGGGTTATGGCTGAAGCCGGAGACAAAATAATAGATTCCATATGTCATTGTCATGATCATAATTTGTAGTAGTTTGGCGACTGGTACTAGCCCCAACTGGTTAAGAACAAAGTTATATCTGTATAAGGTTGCGCTTGCCGCTTGGTGATTTTGCCAATATTGACAACTCTACCACTTATCTTGTCAGATGTGACTTCTGTTAGTTACTATTTGGTTATTTACTGAAATGAGATCATAGTTAAAGTTTATCTGATAGTTCACACTGCCTTTGATTGAATCTTCAAGACTTAGCTGCATGTTTTAGATTTGCTTCTTTAGATCTATCCTTTGAATAATTATGTGTTTGTTGTTATGGTAGGTGGCAGAGCGGGCTTTGTACCTATGGAGTAATGATCATGTAGAAAACCTGATTAAGCAAAATCGTAAAACTATTCTTCCCATTATCTTTCCTGCTCTGGAGAAAAATTGTCGAACCCACTGGAACCAGGCTGTTCAGAGCTTGACCCAGAATGTGCGGAAGATTTTCTCTGACGTAGATCCAGAGCTTTTCGAGGAGTGTATGCGAAAGTTTGAGGAAGATGAAGCTAAAGAGAAAGAGCGAAAAGAAAAACAAGAAGCCATATGGAGGCGCTTAGAAGAGATAATTTTAACCCAATCTAAAACTAGTGAAATGCCCTTAGCTCCTCAAAGTACAGCTGCTCAAACAGTCGCAAGCTAGCATTTAGGACATGCTGGCTTGTAGTTCAATCATTGATGATTTGGAGGTTTTGGTTTATATGGTAAGTCCCTGTTGAAAAACGCTGATTAATGCCAGTCCCCTCCTTTTAATTTCTGGTGTGAGGATCTTGGGGACAGATCACCCCATATGCTGGGCTGAAAGATGCAATATGAGTTAGCAGCTGTCTGGACCAGAAGTGTTGAGGAGACAAATCAAGCTACGGATTTTTCTGATGGTGATTTTCTGGTTGTTACCATGTTATACACAGAGGAGCTATAGATTCCAGGTACTATGTTATACACAGAGGAGCTATAGATTCCAGGTACTTTTCTTTGTTGGGGGGTTGTAATATCTTTTATTATTTTGTGCTAGTTGAGGGTTTCTCCACCTACCTAGCTAGTATGCAGTATACATATGTGTATCTTCTTGACTATTTTTAGAATGTCATTTGGTTTGATTTTTATCTATATATGTGAGTCTTAGAACTTGCAAATTATTTTTGTTGGTTGTAGAACTTTAAATTGACTTTCGTAGAATATTTTGTTCACTTTAACCTTTGACTCATTTTTCAGGCATTGATATCCTCTCCTTCAGGGTAATGATGTATTGAATTGTTACTTATGCCTTGTGCTACCAAATGACCTGCTGTAAGCTGTATCGCCTTGTGTTAGGTCGATACTACATTCTCAAAAACCTTATCAGCTAAGTTAGCAAGTCTTGGCTTTGAAGAGATTGTTGTTATTTGGATTTATGCATCCTTTTCGAAATTTATCCTTTCACTGGATTTCTAGTCTTAATGTGTTAGTGACCACTTAGACAGGGATTGTGAGTTTGTTGGTATGTAAATTTTGGAATCTTTTGAGATGCATGACTTATTATGGATAAGTACTGTTTTGTGGTCAGGACTTTTTTTATTATGATATGATTTAGGGTTGTTGGTGGATTGAAACCAGTCATTTGGTTAATTATCATTTACCAACCAGACAATTACTTATTAGAGCAGTGGAGGTCGTTTTCAATGTTTTAAGGTGGGTAATGCTCATTAGCTGAATAAGTATAGTATTTTTTTCATGTTTCCCAAAACCTTTCTTTAAATTAAGGATCATTCACTACCTTATCATTTAGGGGACTGTTTTTTTTTTTTTTTATCCTTCTCAAAGAAAGGTTCTCATTTGGGGAATTTAAGATCACTGTAAGCAGTCTTATGTAGAAAAGGACTCAGTTGTCGATAGGAGCTGATGTAATGGTTGCAGAAGGAAAATTAGATGAAGCGGTGTCAATGGAACTGTGGATGTCATGGTCCTGATCTCAGAAATGGTAATACCATCATCCAGTGCCAAGATTTTTTTTTTTTTCTTTTTTTGTCCAAAACACACCCAATTTGATAATTATTGCTTATCTTTGAGATGGACCTATTATTCCTATTATCAGCAAGTCAAATGATTAAAGCAGTGTATGTTCCAAGAACCTAGTTTTGGTTTTGGCCACTTTAATGAACAACAATTGGCTAAGAGCTAAGCTTAATGTTCAAGGTTAAGGCTTAAGAGTCTTGAGGTCTTGTTATCATAGTTAGTTATACTTATTTCTTGGCCTTAGAATTACCGAAAGAAGATCAACTTATGGTTGCCAAGAAGTCTAAATGAAAGATTAGGTAATCTTGTTGGACATCGGGAAGACACGAGCAAATGCGTAAGATGACTAGTCTCCTGGTGCGCTCTTAGATATTTGGTTGCTTGTGGCCTTGGCTTATTTTTCTGTAAACCGAGCAGGATTCAAATCTGGCCTTTGTTGAGCACCTTTGAAACTGACTAAGTGCATGCTTGAACCACTATACACTAATGACATGATCGAGCCTGCAAAAGCTCAGATCTTCGAGACCATCGCTGAGCCATTTGAGGTCTGCCGTCTTTTGGGTTAAGTTACGAACTACCCTTTGGAAAACAGAAGGGTGGTAATAATGTTATGATTCGTTCAAACATGCAAATCTGTAAAGCTGATATATAAAACTAAAAAAAAATAACCATTAAATTGTACTGTTTTGACTTTGTTGAAGATAAATTATTTTAATTCAATTGATATCTGATTCAAATGTTGACTCTTTATTCACTTATATCAGATTTTCATAGCTTCTAAAAATATTTACCAAGGGTTATCATTTTCACGATATTTTATACAGCAATGCAAATCTACTATCATTCATTTAATTGTAATCATGAATCTCTTTAACAATACTTATTATTGATTTACTTCACACAAAGCCTTATTGATTTTCATCATGCAAAATCATGCACTCGGCTTTCAGAATATCATCTTTTATGCTTGCTTTATTATTATTAGTCTACTGTCTCCTTTTAAATTTAGTTTTCACATTACTATCTCACATCATAACAACGCGACAGTTAATCCCGGATGGTTAAAGTATGCTTTGCCAATTTATGCATCTAAAGAATACTTCCTCCGTTCTGTTAATATTGCAACAATGGACTTTTTACACTATTCATTACTCTTGTTTGACCATATAATATGATTTATACGTTAAGCAAAATATAGTCATGTGGGATCTTGTTGGATTCGTCTCATAAAATACTTTCACAATATCAACTTTTTATAATTTTTACCCTTACACAATTATAGATATTTAGCATATAAAATGTGCATAGGAATGCGTAATTTCCTCCTTGTTGCAATATTAATAGAACGGAGGAAGTATACACCAATTTATGTCTCAGTAAATCTAAGGAATTTATTGTGTGAACCAAATCTGGTGAATCCAATATACACCAAATCTTTGTCTGGACCAAATATAGAAAATTCATTTGGTTTTTTCATTCTTTATTACAAATAAATTTCTTTTTCTCTTGGATGTCAAATTTCTTAGCAGTAAACATAAATCATGCTCTATATAAAGAGGCTTAAGCATGAATTGTATGTTGCAAATAACAACCATTAATACTAGCAACGAGCTTACGACAAAGAGTATAACAATGGCCACAATGATGAGGGTTGCAAGAACAGCTAAACAATACGTTAAACCATCCTCTACTACCCCTCCTCATCTTAGAAACTTCAAACTTTCCCTCTTGGATCAGCTTGCTCCTTCATTGTACGCCCCTATGGTGTTCTTCTACCCTATGCAAAATACTCGAAACCTTAAAAATGAGCCAGTGAAACACCTAAAACAAACACTCTCCCCTTTCCTCAACCGTTTCTACCCCTTTGCTGGAAGGATTAAAGATCATGTCTCAATTGATTGTAATGATGCCGGTGTTGAGTTTTTGGAGGCTAAGGTAAACACCCGGTTAGGAGACTTCTTAAAACAACCTGATGCCGATGCTTTGAAACACTTCCTCCCCGTTGATATTGAGTCTAAGAAAATGGGGACTAATAATTTGGTTCATGTACAAACTAATACGTTTGAGTGTGGAGGAATGGCGCTAGGCATATGTTGGTCACATAAGATCACAGATGGTGGGACAGTTTCCGCGTTCATGCGTGGATGGTCTTCTATGGCCTCTAGGTCAGGCAATGAGGTGATTCCGGAGTATGGTGCTTCTTCTTTGTTCCCTCCATTAGACTCCTCAATCACGCAATATGCACTTAAGCTAGACACGGATAGAACTTCCACAAAGAGGTTTGTGTTTGATGGATCAAAGATTGCGAAGCTCAAGGCTAGGGCTGCGAGTGAGGGTGTCCCTAAGCCTACTCGAGTTGAGGCTGTCTCGTCCCTTCTTTGGAAATGTGCAACAAAGGTAAGATATGTTTTTCGTTCATTTCATTTGTAAAGATACATAGAAAAATGTTGGAGTATCCGAATATAGAGCCTAATGTAAAAGATATAGTTATAGTTCTTAATCATTGTGCCCAGACCTTATCGTTATGTAGTGTTTGTCTTACTACAAATGTAAAAGATGTATAACGAAGCCACTTAGATCAAGTTATAACAAAAAATCGAATTCCTCGACCCAAAATGGTATGTTTAGAAACTAATAATATAGACATGGAAATTATATGTATACACATGCATGCCAAAATCTGTTGTACATACTCTTCTAGCATGAATGTAACCAAGTTTTTCTCATCTTATGAAAGGCCTCAAGAGCAAACTCGGGGTCTCAGACATTATCAGTGATGTCCCAATCCATGAACATACGTCGAAGGACCTCACCACCCTTGCCAGACACTAGTATAGGCAATCTTGTTGGCTACTACGTAGCAAAGATGGAAGAAAATAATGGTGACCACATAACACACTTGAGAGATTTGGTGGCAAAGCAAAGGCAGGGGAAAACAGAGGCAATTAACAACTACGCGAAGAAGCTGCAGGGGAAAGATGCATATGTAGTGATCCGTGAGCTATTCAAAGAGGCAGGAAGCCTACTAAGAAGGGAAGATGTTGATTTCTTCAAGTGTCTTAGTACATGTGGAGATGGGTTATATGATGCCGATTTTGGGTGGGGGAAGCCAACATGGCTAAGCTTGGTTAGTTTAGGTTACAAGAACACTTTTGCCTTAAGTGAGACCAAAGAAGGTGGTGGAATTGAAGCTTGGGTGACCTTAAAAGAAGATGATATGGCCTTATTTGAGCGCAATTTAGAACTCCTTGCGTTTGCCTTGCCGAATCCAAGTGTCTTAGTAATGGATGAAGAATCTCAGTTGTTGAAACAAGTAGAAAGAAGATTGATATTTGATGATCCAAGCCACAACCAAACATTGCTAACTTGGTGAAGTATACTACTAAATTTAATGCATTGTAGTGTTGTAATTCAAGTTTTCTAAGCTATTGCTTGCTTATTCTTTATATTGCTTATTCTAGCATGCAAAAGAAAGATTTATCTTTCTTATTGTAACAAGTTTCACGAGCTATAGTCATTATGCCAAATTGGTGATATGGTGGTCCTAATTCATGTTATGATTATATTTTACTTAAATTACACCTAGACATGACAAAACTGACTCATATCCGATTACCTATATCGATCAGAATTATATAACTCAAACTTAAAATGTAACTCAAGTTGCATGACATAAGTTGAAGTAAAATCAAGTTGCACCCAACCAAAAAAACCCCAAACTAACAAGACAAACCAAGTAACTCATTACCCATACACAATCAAATTACACATTACTCATACAAGATTATTCATAGCTTCGTTACTTCTTTTTTCTCAATCTTTTGCTTAGATGATTCACGCTACATATATGCAACCAGAAATTTCAGCTGCATAACCGTAGAAAAACAAAAGCTTGTGATCAATTCAAACCCCATTTTCCCAAAATTCTGACAACTTTTTTGCATCATTTTTGCTAGTTAGCAAAAAGCTCATGTGAGCATATAGCCACTAGTCATATCCAAACGCTCAATGATCTTGAAATCACAAAATCTAACGTTAAATTCCTCAAAATTATAAGAGTAGAAGGATCAAAGTTCGCGAAAATGGAAGTAGAGATCAATTCCATAGAAGCTATTAAACCTTCTAAACCAACCCCATCACACCGTAAATTACACAAACTCTCAAGCCTAGACCAACTCTCACCTAGCATCTATGTTCCCGTCCTCTTCTTCTACCGTGCCCCTTTGACACCTCACGATCGTGTTAGCTTATCTTCACAACTAAAGAGCTCACTTTCGGAGACATTAACTCATTACTACCCATTTGCAGGAAAGATGATCAAAGACGGTGTACATATCGACTGTGATGATATGGGAGCTCTTTTCTTAGAGACCCGGGCTAAGAACAACCTTGTTGATATCCTTACATTGCCAAAACTCGAGGCCTTAAGCATGCTCTTCCCTGATGATTTGCAGTGGAAGAGCTCGAAAAATTCGAGGGTTTTGGCTGTCCAAGTTTGCTACTTTGACTGTGGAGGTTTGTCCATTGGCATCTGCATTTCAAGCAAAATTGCAGATGCTTGTACCATAGTTACCTTCCTCAACGATTGGGCTACGTATGCTCGAAAAACTGGTGAGTCGATATTTTAATTAGTAACAATACCATAATGTTATAGAGGATCGATGTGAGAGGATAACATTATCACGTGTTGTTACTGTAACAGGAAATAGTGGCCTTCCATCAATTTGTCCTTTGTTCAACACATCATTATCGATATTATTCCCTCCTAGTGATCAAATTGTCGTACCAGAGATTGAATTTACGATAGCCAATGTCGTCACAAGGAGATATGTTTTCCATTCAACAAAGATATCAGAGCTCAAAGCTAACATAGTGTCCAACTCAAAAATCCTAGAAAACCCAACTCGTGTTGAGGTTGTAACATCACTCATGTATAAATCCATAATTCAAGCAAATAAAATTCGATCTCTTGGCTTGGTAAAGACATTTATGCTAGCTCAAACGGTAAACATGCGACCTAGAATGGTTCCATCATTGCCAAGAAATACTATTGGTAACATAGTTTGGTACTTTCCGGTTATAATCATAGACAATGATGACATAAGTCTAGAAACATTGGCAACCCAAATGAGGGAATCGTTTTTGAAATTATGCGACGTTGCTAAAAATGTTGAAGGGAAAGGGTGGCTTTTGATAGAGGGCAAGTTAGTAAACGACGCTGAGCATAGCCTGAACAATGCTTACAAATTTAGCAGCTGGTGCAGGTACCCTATATACGAAGTGGATTTCGGGTGGGGAAGCCCTATATGGGTTAGCACTGCCGAGTATCCTTACCAGAATAGTGTTATTATGATGGATAGCAAAGACGGAGAGGGGATTGAAGCATGGGTGACCTTGGATGAAGAAGTTATGTATGTGTTTCAAAGTGATGAAGAGCTTCTCAAGTTTGCTTCCTTAAATCCAAGCATTTACGACAATATGCAAAATTGAGGATTTGGGTTTGTAAAAATTGTGAATTTATTGATGTTAAATAGGGTAGTAAGTGATTTGAGTCAGAGCAAGTTTTAGTTGGTTTGAACTAAGCTTGATAAGAATTATGAGTATTTTCGACCTAGCTCAAGCTTCAATAAGCTTTCAGAATTCTTATTTGAGCTATATATTAAAAGAACAGACGAAGTAATTGCCACTCATCTTGATTGGCAAATGCATGATAAGCAATTACAAATTCCATACATAATATAGGAAACAAAGATTTACCCTATAATATGTGACAAAAACTTGATTAAAAAAACTTAAAAATCATTTAGCACAAAGAATATTGATCACATTCTTAACAAGATACCCTTTCTTGCCCTTAAGAAACTCCCTAACACCCTTCTCATCCCCTACAAAACCCAACCCTTTCATCTCTTTGAAAAACTCTTTTCCCTCCAACTCCTTCCCCTCCCTCACAAACGCCTCTATAAGTATAAACATTAGGAAGAACCCCAGATGACAACATCCTCAAAAACACCTTTTCAGCTTCCTTGCATTGTCCAGCATTAGCATAAGCCTCAATAACAGCAGTGTGGGCCACCACATCAGGCAATTTCCCTTTCTCTTTAATCTCCTTAAACATTTCCAACGTTTCATGGGTTAAACCATTGTTAGACATTTCGTCGAACATCTTGACTGCATTACTGATTAACCCCTCTGTTCTCATTTTCTGGAAAACTTGCTGTAAGTTCTTGACATCTTTAGATTCGGGAATGGTGGGTTTGTTGCTAAACGGTTTGTTTTGGGAGGGTTCGGGTTCGGGTTCGGAGGAAGTGAATTGGAGGGTGATGAGGTTAAAAGGGGAAAATAGTGGGGATTTGGAGGTGGAAGAGACAGGTTTAATGAGGAGAGAGAAAGAAGAGAGGGAGATTGATGGGTGAGAAGAGGAGAGACGGCGGAGAAGGTGGCGGAGATGTGGTGGTGCAACTGCCATAGTTTAACAAGGTGGAGCTCTGAAAAATAAGTTTTGAGAAGACAATTGGTCAATTGATTTGGGAGTCAATGGCGACTTTTTTTTTTTATATATGTATTTTGTTATAAAATACACCCTGGAGAGTTTTAGGAGAAATTGGAAAAAGTAATAAAATATGAGGTAGTGGGATAGTTGAGAAAATAAATAATTGTAAAAACAAAAGTAGTGGAAGAATAGGAGGAAATAGAATATTATGTTGGGTCCATTAAGTGTGAGAAATGAATTAAATATTGTAAAAACTTTCCAAAAAAGGAAATGGAGCAAGTATTTAAAAACGGCCGGAAAAGAAAAATGGAACAAGTATTTAAAAACGGAGGAAATACGCAGTACTCCATATATACAAAGTACTCCGTGGTGTATGACAATACTGTTTTGCACATTAGAATAATCGTATCACATACAGTATAGAGTAAGAGCTTGTTTGGTTGAATGGAGGAAGTAGAAATTCCCATGAAAACTCAATGCCCATGAAATTGTAATTTCTAGGAATTGTCAAAATTTGTTTGGTTGAATGTGGGAATTTCTACTTCCCATGGGAAGTTTAACTTACTTAAGGGGGATTAGGTAAGTTAATTCCTCCATTTTGTGGGAAGTAAAAGTTCCTAGGAAGTCCCACTTTCTACATAATTGTCAACCAAAGAAGTATATAGAAATCTATTTTCTAGGAAAATAAACTTCCCATAAATTTATTAGGCAACCAAACAAGTTCTAAAAATAATTAAGATATTGTACCACGAATTTTATTAAGCCCATCTTCACTCAAGCTTGAGACCTAAAGTGTTTGAATTGATAAACAAAAGGAAAAAGCAAAATTTTCCTTCTATAAACGGGGCTATTTGTTGATGACCAGAGTGAGCGAGGTTATTGTAGACCTAATAGCTTATTTGTAGATATTTTTTTTGGTGTTTAGAGAGCTACAAGGGCGGGGGTGAGAATCGATCCCAGGACCTCCTAGGAATCGGGAAGGAAGCTCTAACCACTTGAGTTATTCCTCACTCTCAGCTTATTTGTAGATATGATTGGAATTGTATGACTAATTATCTGACGTTGTCCATTAGTAACTTAACTAGTTTTTAGTCCGGACGATGCCCCAAATCATTGTTTATATAAAAATTATTATAACAAAATAAAGCAAGTGAACTATAAATTGGTGGCTTTATAAAAATAATATCATTTGTTAAATATTTTAAATAAAATTGAACATCAAAATTCATAATTTAATATGCAGCAACCTAAATGCTATATTGTATTAGTTTGTTTTATTTGTTAAAGGGATTTTTTTAATTATTCAACTATCATAATGAATTCCTTCTAATAAACATATTTTGTGGTTAAAACGAAAAATTATTTAAAATTATTTTGCATTTTTGGGTTATATATTTTAATGAACTATAGCCTATATGAATTATGGTTGAGTAACTAATCAAAGAAATGAAATTAATTTTGCAAAAAATATACACATATAAGTTCACAATTAAAATTTTAGAATTTATGAACATGAATAACTCTTTTTAATACTATTTTATCATCATAAGATGTCATTGGAGCGGTGGTTAGTTAAAGTTTAATTTTAATGAATATGAGGTTATGGGTTCAAATATTAATGCTACTAAATTATAAATCTATACTTAGTATTTTAAAACGCTAACCAAAAAAGACATATGTCATCATTCTATTACACTTCCCTATCTTCTTCTTCAACTCAATGTGCCACATGTCGTTTTACATTTTTTATTTTTAATTATACAATTTTTATTTCTTTAATTATGGTTTTAGTTACATATTACACTTATAATTATTTATTGGTATTTCCTCGCTCATCTCTCAATACAATTTCTATGAACAAGCCATGCATTGTACGAGCCAGAAGGCTAGTTTTTATGAAAAAACATTGATGTATAATTGTTAATAATAGGTGACATGGCAACACGTGGCGAGATTGGTGACACATGACAAGATTACATTCCTTGCCATTGAGTTTTAATATATACATTGAATTGATATTGATGATATTGATTGATTGACTAGATTATTTATATACTCTCTCCGTTTTTTTTTTTGCAAGTGTAATGTTTTGAACTACTCCCTCCGTCCATTAATACAGCGCCTCTTTTGGTTTTTGTGTGGGAATTAAGAAAGTTATAAATTCTTGAAAACTAATGATTAAAAGTATATAAGTGCATGTGGGGTTAGAGAAAGATAGAAGGAAAGAAAAAGTAATTAAAAATAATTAAAGTGGTAGGGAGAAAAAGTGTTGGAAATTGATGTTAAAAGTACAAAAAACTAAAGAAAAAAAAATATCAATTCATCAAATGAGGGTAATAATGTCAAAAATTACAACCTTTAAATAGAAAGATGCATTATATTTTGATTTACTCACAAAAAAAATAAGGTTTTGTATTAAGGGACGAAGAGAATACTTTTTATTGTGATCCTAAATCACAACTCCTACCTAAGTAGAGTTATTGGACAGAACCTATGAAATTGAGTTGATAGTGGTTCAAAGTTTATAGACTAATTAATATTTTTTTTTTTGAAAAAATATTAATAATTGTTTGTGGGCTACAATTATCGTGCCACGTGTTTAATGGATATGTTACAAAAATTTGGAGAGAAATGAAAATTCCCCTTTAACAAAATGTAAAGGCTATGGTCTATGGATAAGCAAAAGTTGGCTGATTTGTCAAACTTTCAACCTCCAAAATTACAACAGCAAAACCAACACAGTAGAGTTTTAGCACAGAAGAAGACCAATTTCTAAAGAAAAAGAGAGAATTTTGCTTAAAAATGGAGGTGGGTATGTCTATAAACCCTCTAATTAGACTACCAATGAAGTCAAGCTCAAGAACATTTGATGAATCTTCATCAATTATCAGGCACTCTTTCATTTCTACAAGAACAAAAAACCCAGATTTACAGAAAGGGCGAAATCTGCAATTTGTGGTTGAAGCCAAGGGTAAAAAGGGAATGAGTTCTCGCCTTCTTCAACGCCAACCTCCTCCTCCTTTGCCCAAGATTGAAGATGATGGCAATCCTCGTTTTGTCATCTTCATTCGTATGGCCAATGTCTGCTCTTTCTCTCATCTCTGTTTTTAATTTTACTTTATATGTTCTTTTGTTTCCAACTGTATGTATGTCATATCATGCTCTCGAGTTTATGATCTTTGGCGTTGCGAATTTGAGTTTTGTGTGTTAAATGTCGACTTTCACTGTTTTTGTTAGGTGGGTACTTGAAATTTTCTTTTATTTTGAGCAGTATGTTGTTGATTGAGCATGATGTCATATCATGCTATTGAGTGTAGGATCTAATTGTTGCATATTTGATTATTTTGTGCTAAAGATATAGACTTATATTCTTTTGTAAGTGGGTACTTGAAATTTTCTTTAACCATCAAAGTTCACAAAATCCCAAGTTGTTGATTGGATATTTTGAAATTTTTGTAGCCATGATACTTTGTGGTTGAAGTAGAGATGATGATGTTATTAGACTTATTGGACAGGCTTGATGGAATCGTTGCGAGTTTTCAGTTTTGTTAAAATTAATGTGTAGAGTTTCAAGTAGTGACTATGTATTGACTTCTTACCTAGTGATCAAGGGTCTATGTTACTCATAATTCAAATGTAGGACACGGCTATTTTATGACTATTTTGCCTGATTTTGGCCTAAATTGAAGTTACTTGCATTTGACATTGGTACTAGAGGTAAAATGAAGAGTTGAAGTAACAATCAAGTGTTGTCGCGGAGGGAAATTTAGGTTGTTTATTTCAAATGTTTTATTTAGGTTGTTTAGAGTTGTGGTAATCGTTATCATTGTTTGCCCATTAGTGTCTTTTACCTAGTATATTGTACTTGTTCATTTTGGTTACCTTTTTATCAAATAATTGGCATCATATATTGGGCAGGTATACCTATGGTACCCTCTTAATCTAGTTACTGGTGGTACAACTGCAAAGATTATGGTTGCTGCAAAAGATAATATCCTCGGGAAATACATTTACAAGGATACAATTGCTAGAAATCTTGCAGCAGTGGTTTATCGAGTAAGTTCTCTGATCATTGTCTTTGATCTTGAAATTAGCACTATTCCTGTACAATTTGCCTTGGATGAGTGAACTTTGCAAGAACAAACAATAATAACAACCTTCTCATGTGATTCATGTCGAGGCAAAGTCTGAGCAGGTCCAAATTTGCCTTGGATGTGTGAACTTTGCAAGAACAAACAATAATAACAACCTTCTCATGTGATTTATGTCGAGGCAAAGTCTGAGCAGGTCCAAATTTACACTACCTATAAATGAACCCTAAGTGAAAAATTCTATAGAGGTTGTAAGCAGTCCGCTGGTCTAAATATACATTTATAAAGCATAATTGGTTCTTTTTAGCAAATAGTACCTAAAAGCATGATGTAGTAAGTTTAGGTGTTAAAAATTGCAAGTCTCAAGTTGCTGGTCACTGAGGCACTTCAAGATTATTGAAAAGAGCAGTGGACGACTGGGGTGTGGCTTAATCTTCGTATTAATTTACTCTATATTCCTTTTTTATTGCCACATTGAATCTTTATTACTACAGACCTGAAGTAAAGCTAATGATGTTCAGTTACTCTAAGCTGGCAAAGATATAATCAGATTCTTAAAAGTTAGTCAGGAAGTAAGTTATCTGTCATATAAAGATTAGAAGATATTAAACATACTGCCAAACTGAAATGTTCCACTTGAAAGTGCTAAACGAACTCATATTGTGCGGTTCCATCTATATTTGCTCTTCATACTCTTTGTTGCATCTTGTGTTTATTCAGAGATTATGCTCTCGTATTTTTTTGTTTGTTACTCCTTACTCTGTATCTATTTAGGTTTTTATTGATCGGTGAAGAACCTGCTTCTCTTTTCCTTCTTGCTTTTCTAGTTGTTATCGTGTTATCCTAGTATTGCGGTTTTGCCTATAAAATTGGAAGCTGAAACTTGTTCTGTATCTTTTAGTATCTACATTCTTTCAAATTAGATTTTCCTTATAGTCAGCAGGATTGCAACACTCACTCTTTTATACATCTGAGGCGCATTTATTCAGATATGCCTCCCTAATACATGTTATATGTGCTTGTTCAGGATGAGAAGGAGTTAATAAAGATTGCACAGAAGCAATTCCGTATTTTGAGGAACGCAACTGAATTCAGATATGGCTACAAGCTTGTTGTAATGTTTCTGCAGCCATCACTTAGCTAGCTTGATATTTCCTACTCAAATCATCATTTTTCCTTATATTGGTTGATGCAACTTTCTAAACCTTTTTACCTCAGTGCATTAGAGTTAATTTTCTGATCATTGTTTATAAATGCAGGAAAATTGTGATATAAAAACGGCTCTTACTCCTAAAAATGTTATTGAGGTAACTTATTTCTTTGTTATTATTTACTCTGTACTTCCATATTTTGAACAACAAATAATAGAAGATAAATAGGTCTGAGAACATTGATGCTGATGTCCAGTAGCTCATTCATTTTTGATCTGTTACTGCTGCTGATGGAATTTCACTTTTCTGTTCAGCTGCCGACTCAAGATCAGCTCAAGACGGTGGTTGATAAGGTTAAAGACTTCTTTGGAGATGCGAAGGAATCCTTTGGTAAGCTGACAACATTAAACACAACCTCTGAAGAAGGGGCAGAGGAAGCTTCAGCAGAAAAATCCAAGTGAGTGTAATTTGTTTGGGAAGTTGAGGGACATCGTATTATCTTCATGTGCATTTTTCCATGTTGTTTGGTCGAAAGGTTGAAATCGATGTTATGAGTCCCATGTAAAGGTGTAACACCATGATATGAGGAGGCACAATGTCCTCCATGTATGATAAAGGAGAGCAGCATTATACGGTTTTTGGTTTTCGACGCTTTGTCCTTGTAATTGCATCAACAGGCAAATGATCTCATTGTACTAATCTTGTAGAAAATTACAGAATTTTTCATACTACAAAAATTTCCTTTTATGTACATGCAGACTTGGTTAATTCTTTCTATTATTGATGACAAAAAGACTTGCGTGGACCTGGTCCACAATAATATTATTGTGGACCCGATATTTATACACACGCAACTGACGTTATATTGAACACATGATCCCTTATTTTTAACATAGTAACCTTATTTTTAACACAGTAACCTTTATTAAAACTTGTATAACATTTAATATTATTGTGAACTTGAATATAACGTTATAACCCTAATTTTAACATATGACCTTTATTTTTCATATTGACCAGTATATAATATATTTCATTAAAAAAATTAATCCCTTATAGCCTATATATTACCATAATAACTTTTATTTCAACATAGTGACCTTATTTTAATTATAGTGACTTTTTTTTATATTAATAAAACAATCATAATTTCTCTAATATTAGTGGTCCATAATAAATTAGTGTGAACCAGGTTCATTTAAGAATTTGTAAGCATGCTGAGATTGCTCTGTTTATATTTCATTTTTCTACTAGTTGGACAAAGAATTGTGATTATGAATATGGATTAGATAGGTTTTACAATAATTGCTTAATCTTTAGAGAATGACTGTCATACTTTTATGTTCCTTTTAAAAAATAAAAATATGAACCCAGAAAGTTTTGGCCACTTCAATGATAAACTCTGATTCCTCAGCTTTGAGAGGAGTTTGATAAAATTACCACCATCATTAAAAACTAGTAAAAAAAAAAATTATATGCATCAATATATTAATGCATCTTGTATACTTGTATAACGGTTGCATACTTGCATTGCACTATACATTTAACATATATGTGCAGCATCTTCAAATTACATAAAAGTCAAGACATTGTATAGTCGTTTGGTCAATAATTAAAAGATTTTCGCTTAATCGTCAAAATAACTGGGAACAATGATTTTACACAAAGTACTGTGCTCAATCAAATAACTCACTTTTTAAAAATTGAGCCATATGAACAAGACAGTATCCTATAAACTTCACAAGCAAGACAATTTTTTTTTTTTTTTTTTTGTGTGTGTGTTCCACCCGATTTATTCTTTGAGCTAATCCGAATTCGATTTCGATGATCAATTTTGGATGGTTAGATTCTAGGCCCCTTTCAATTGTTATTGCGGGGAAAATACTTACACGAATTACTATAACTCTTGGTCCAGTGAGAAGAAAATACTGTAAACATTCATGAGAAGTCTAGAAGCTTGATATGCACATGATTTTTACAACAATTCCAAAAATCCAAAACCCAGAAAAATCTTTGCTTCCAGAAATGTCCACTAGAAACCCCACTAAAACAACTTCTATATATAGCATCTCATAAATTCAAAAGTACTGTAACATTATTATATCAGCAAAATCTAACATTATCCAATTTTCCAAATCAACTTTTAATTCATCAATCAAACATGGCTCAATCACTTTCCCAATTTAGCAACACAATCCCCTTTACAAAATCATCAAACACTTTTTGTGGGCATTCTTATTTTTACCCAAAAAAATTTCAGCAAAAAAAACCCAGCTTTAATGGAGGAATTAAAGCCATGAAAGCTGATCGAAGGGAAAATCCTGAGTATTTGCAGAAATCTGGATTGAGGAGGAGAGAACCTTCTGCTGCTCCTATTGGTAATTTCATTTAATCCTTGGTTATTTTTTTCTATTCTTGTTTTTTTATTAAATTTATAGATTGGTCATTTTTTTTTTTTTAATTTATTTGATCATACTTTTCTTGGGTTTGTCATATAAAGTTTAGAATTTAGTGGTAGAGAGATCATATCAAACTATTGAATTAAATTGAAGTAAACTTTAGTTGATTATAAATTATATTTGTTTGATGAGAACACTATAAAACAGAGTAGCTCACTATAAAAATTAATTTGTAGGTACATTGTTTATGCTTTTGTGTTGTAATTGAAATTGATGAAAATTTTAGGATTAATTTCCTTTTAGCAATTTCTTTGTTTAAAATTTATGTTCACTTACAAAGTATTTCACTATTTCATACTAATCTAGATGTCCGGAAAATATTGTTGCATAGCACGGTTGAATTTCTTAACACGACCATTAGTCCATCACTTATAGGTGAAGGGGTTTAGGGGTAGTGCACTATTTTAAATTAAGGTCTTGAAAGTTCGGTTTAATGTGACAATTAATTTGAGACGGATTGAGTATGCATATATGTGGGTGGTTAGCCATATGCTTGTATGTTGGATGGTGTCATGCCAAAGTTTCTAGATTTCAATTTCATCCCCATAAAATGTGCTAGACTAATGATTTTTTATTCTATGTGCCCAAACTAATGAAATAATTTTGAGCTAGAACTTTATGTATGATGCAATCTTACAGTGAATGAGTTACCAATTTCAGGGTTATGGGACAGGTTTCCATCTGCAAGAACAGTGCAACAAATGTTGGACACAATGGACAGGGTGATGGAAGAGCCGGTTGCATACAACAGCAGTTGGCAATCGCCACTGCCCAACAACGGAGGCGAGTACGTGCGTGGGCGAACACCATGGGAGATTAAAGAAACTGAGGGTGCATATAAGCTGAGGTTTGACATGCCAGGAATGACTAAAGAAGATGTCAAGCTTTGGGTGGAGGAGAAAATGCTAGTTATCAAGGCCGAAAAGGTGTCGAAAAGTAAGGATGGTCAAGAGAATGGTGCAGTGGAAAATGAAGGAGATTGGCCTGCTAAGAGCTTTGGTAAGTATAGCAGCCGGATTGTGTTGCCTGAGAATATCGATTTTGAGAAGATCAAAGCTGAAGTTAGAGATGGTGTGTTGTATATAACCATTCCGAAAGCTAGTATTAGTAGCAAGGTGCTAAGCATCAATGTGGAATAATGTTGGGTTAACATGATATGATCCTCCCTGCTTGTCTATGCTAGTGTTAACTGTTAAGCAAGTGGTGCAAGTAATTCTATGTACTAGTAGCTGTTTTTGTATCAAATTAGCACTAGTAATGTATTCACTACTACTTTTAGAAGGGAGGGTTAATTCTCTAAATTGAATGTTAAGTATAATATAGCCGTATAGGATTGTATATTTGTAAACTTTGGGGTTCAATGTTAAAAGCGGAGAAATAATAGAGGATACATTTTTAAGACTACAAAAAAATTGTTTGGAACCATTTATGGCTATTAGAGTCAATGATGGATTACGTGTTTGTAACTTGCAAAATCAGTAGTTAAGAATTGAAGTAGATGGATGCAAATATGCAATCGGCCAATTGTTGTGTCCTCTAATGAATTAGATGATGTACTTTTTACTTTTTAGTAGTTGTATCATATGAGGTTTGAAAACTAAAAAAAAAATTACAATACTTGAGTTCAGAACAATTTTGGATTTTTTTTTTTTTAAAAAAAAAATCAAAATTGAGGAAAATGAAGGAGTTGCATTTATTAAAAAGAAAAAAAAAAAAAAAAAGGTAAAGTAATAAGGAAATTCTGACTGAAATTTATTTGTAATTAGAATAATTTGGATATAATCTTCCTCTAATAAGTTCAAAGGGACATGTTGAATTGGCTATGAATCATAAAACGTCAATAATTTATAAGGATCATTTAAGATGTAAGCATGAATTTGTTGGATATTAGCCGTACATAATTTCTCTATTATTAAAGATTTAAACATTAATTAAACGTAAAGAAATCACCAAATCTAACTCAAAATCGCTTGGCCAAGTCATGTAAAATATACACTATGATTACATTTTTTTTTAATATGAAATTAAATAGCAACAACGGTCTTTTTTGGATTGAGGTGACCTCAACATCAGAATGGTCCAAAAACTTGACTATCAATTAAAAAATGTATTAGCCGTTGGAAAGAACTGTTATAGACTGAATTTGGCGCCTGGATAATTCACCTTAAACAAAATAGAATTATGCATTAGGAAAAAGGTTGTCTAAATGACCAAAAAGTTATAATTATTTTTTTTCTTGTTTGCTTATAATTGCATTAAAAAAAGTCATATATTAATGTGTAGATCGAGTATATGAGTAGTTTTTTTTTTTTGGTGTTCCAAAGGGTTCACCCTTTGGGCTAATCCGGATTCGGGGATCAGTTCTGGGTGGTTAGGTTTCAGTCCCCTCCCGATTGTTGTTGCTGGGGATCGAACACGAGTCTTCCCTACCAAGTGTAGTCTCAATCACCACTACACCAACAACCAATTGGTAAGAGTATATGAGTAGTTAAATGTGACAAAATACCATAAGATAGATATACTCGGGTGTATAATAGTTACTCTAAGTGGAACTTATAATTTGCTTATCTATACACTCGGTATCAATCACATTTATCTTTTTATGATTTACTCCATCCAGTTATTATTTTAATTGTAGATTTTCTCAATAATGCAAAATACTTTTCAAATTTAAAGATATACGATATTATCTCTAATGACACCTGTATCGAGGAAATTGATAGCAAAATTAGTACTGATCAACAACAATAAACACATCAGTTAATTAGCGCTATATTCATCCAAAAATCACAGCTAACAAGTTGAGGTGCATCTTTGATAATATGAATTAAATTATTTTTACAAGTTACAAAAAATCAAACAACTAACTTAGAGCAAGTTTAGTGACATCATTATTTTAAGTCTTAAGACTTTTGCTTAAGACTTTTCCCATTTTTCTTCAAAAATCTCAAGCAAGTCTCAAATTGAGTCTTGAAATTTCAAGACTCAACTTAAGACTTGAGATTGGGACCCACTACTTCCACCTCACTTTTATTTTTATTATCCTTTTTTTTTTCTTACACTTTTTTACATATAATATGTCAATTATTTAAGTCTTAGGGCTAAAGTGATAAATTTGTGTAAGTCTTAGTGAGTCTTAACAAGATTTTGATGACATCATTTTCAATGGGGACCACCAAAAATGATGTCACATTCAAGTTTTAAGACTTGGGGCTAAACTTGCTCTTAACTCATAATTCGTCAAGTTAACATGCACACATTTTGAGCTATGTATTTAGTGCTCAACAATTGACCTTTAATTACAGAAGATGTATTACACTTTTTAGTAATAGTATCATTATTTATTTATTTATTTATTTGACAAAATAGTAATGGTATCATACCAAATTATGGACCTGTTCATATTTACTGAACTGAATTGATTGGAGCTGAATTGAGCTGAAATGAATATTTTATGAGAGGAAAATTAAGAGCTGAACTGAACTGAACTGAATTCAACTGAACTGATTGGAGCTGAACTGAACTGAATTGAACTGATTAGAGTTGAACTGAACTGAACTGAACTGAAATTAAGTAAATGTGAACAGGGCCCATGTATATCAAATTTTTTTATTATGACCAATTACCAATGGTCCAATGGCCAAAGTTCATAAACTTTTATCCAAAATTTTCTTAGAAAACAACAAGTATAGGATACCATTGAGAATATTCTTGAATTTTCAATTTAAATAAACCAATATCCCACCATTTTATTTCTTTATTTTCTCATTAATATGTGAGAGAATCCATCATAATTTCATTACGAAATACAAAGTATTATAATCGAATAGAATTGCAATTAGATATATATATATATTTTTTTTCTAAAATCACGAATGTATAATTCTATAATCTTGTAAATAAAATATCAAACAAGATAAATCTTCTATTTTTCCTAACAAAATCTATACTAATATATTAAAAGACACTATAAAAACGTCTATGTGCCACGTAGATCCTTTGACATTACGCCACATCACAACCACTTATAACAAAGTTGGCCAATTAACCATCTTAGCCCATTATCAAGCGTATTTTAAATATGAAAACAATGTACATAAATGTAAACCACGTGATTTAATTATTAAAAAATAAAAACACATTGAATAATATCGATTTCATATTTCAAAATCATTAAAAAAAAAAGCCCCAATTGCACGATTATAAAAATAGCAACTCGGGGCAATGCCCAGGTTACTCACTAGTAAAAGTTAAAACTCATTTTTTTTTCCTGCTATAAATTAAATAAGATTATATCATAAAAATGAGATGAATAAATGGAATCAAACCCTAACAACACTCGTTTTGAGGGAGACTCGGTTTATCTTCATGTTAAATAATAATCGTTTATCTAATGGTATTTATGTAAATTATTCAACAAAATATTTTCGTAAATAAATCTAACATTTATGTACCCGTAATTGATAAAAGTTGTTGATTTATTTAAAGAAATAGATCAATTAAAAAAATCAAAAGAAAAAGAGCTCCTACTATAAATTGAAAAATCAATAAGCAACCAAAAATACTAAAAAGGGCACATTTTCCCAAAAAAAAGTTGCTCATCTGGGCTCTACCCTGCTCCTTCAGCAAATTCAAATTTAAAACTATACACAATTTTACATCCCCTGAATTTTATTTTATTTCCCAGAAAATTTAACATTTTAAACCGTTTTCTTCACCCACTCTCCAATTTTCTCTCTCTAAAACACAGAGCAAAATCAATGGCGGAATCAGCTTGTTTAAGACGTTCATTTTCTAATCCTTCTGAAACTTCCCATGATTTTTCAGAGGTTTGTTTGTTCATTTCTATCCCAGATAATCTACATTTTTAATTTTAATTATATTTCAGCTGATTCTTATAATTTTTTCTTGAATTCTTAACTGGGTTTTGTTTTTCTGCTTAATTTTGCCCATTTATGAACTGGGGTTTTGTATTTATGCTCAAATTTGTTGTTGTTGCATAATTTCTAATTTTGGCTGTCAATATTCACTTGCTGCATTATATATTTATATGGGTGTTTCAATTTATTATTGTATTTTCAATGTAATTGCTTGAATTTGTACTTAGAAGCTAAAATTATTATGTTTTCAATTGGTTGAAAGTGGGTAGTAATTTGTTGTAATAGTATTTAATTAGCTTAGAAGTATAATATAATGCTTGAATTCTGAAGGAGATCCGTGTTGCGTATGCTTTAGTATGAAGTATGTACATACACTAAATGATCCAAATTTATAGTATGGTACAAAATTAGTTGGGTATGCAATAAGAGAATTTAAGGTGATTTAAGTGTACGAAGATGGGTTTGCAAGAGCATATAGCACTAGATCGAAGTGAATGGAGGATAACAATCTTTGTGGATGATCCCGGGAGATAAATTCTTGGTTCATGTAGCCGACCCCATACTTTTGGGATTAAGGCTTTGGTATTGTTATTGCTGTTGTTGATAGTTAGTATTGTTTGATCAATTATTCTGTGTAAATCAAAGGAGAGGTTTTTCAAAATTCGCGCTTGTTGCGGACAGTTTCTATAGTTACTTGGGTATGCAACTTGTAGCTCATCTGACTGTCTTTGAGTTTGTCTATTTGCTGGTTCATATTCATATTGCACCAATGTTGCTTTGTTTGGACAAGATTGAAGTTGAGGTTTCTCATTATAAGCTTTAACTGTGATGGTTTCGACAAGCAGTATGGTAAGTATTATATCTGGACAGTTCAATTTAATTCTGTAGGACTTGATTAATGAAATTTGTTGAGTAATATGATTTCTATACATCTCTGAGCATCTTACTGTCAAATGTTAAATATTAGTATTGAATGTGAGGAGTTCAGCTGGAATATTGATCAGAACATTTTATCTAATAGGGAGATCAGGTTCGTGCACTTGGAGACTCTATATCTTTTGGGAGATATATGTCAGAGTCCTTGGCTTGGGAGAAATGGTCAACTTTTTCTCACAATCGTTATCTAGAAGAAGCAGAAAAGTCTTCCAAACCTGGATCTGTTGCCAAGATGAAAGCTTATTTTGAGGCCCATTATGGGAGGATTGGTGCAAAGAAACAGGCAGCCCTAGAGCAAGCAAGTGATGATTCTAGTTTTGTTGAATCAGAAATTTTCTCGAGCTCGAGCTCACCTGCATTGAATCTAGATATGACAGTTCCCAGCAGTCATTCAACTGTTAATGAACTTCGAAGGAGCTTGAGCTCCCCTGCACTGAATCCAGAAACAGCCCTTCTTAATAGTTATTCAACCGCTGATGAATTTCCAAGGAATGATACCCCCAATGTGGAGCCTCTGAGTGTCATTGTCAGTTCCTGTGACTCGTCCAAAACCAAAGAACTACAAAATGAGGAAGACATAATTGTGGAACCAAGTTCAAACATTGATTACAAGGAGTGTCCTGAGGTTCAAGTAGACCAATGTGAGGATGCAGAAGTAAATGCTAGCATCACCGAGAACTCTGTTGAGATCAAGGTTGACTTGTCTACAGATGCATTGGAAAGTGATACAATTCTGATCACCCCAGAAAGGGAGGTGACTGTGACTATAGAGGTATAGCATCACTTATACCTCTCTTTTCTTATCAGTGGTTTATGTATATATTTTATTTTCTGTGTTTAATACTAGTTACTATTGATGCTCCAGAAGGAAGCAAAGACGGACAAGTTGGACTTAAGAAGCAAGCAGAAACCAACAGATTCATCATTGAAAAGTTCAAAAAAAAGCAATGTGTCCAAGTTATCATCCTCTCTTGCTAGACTTGCAACTCCAGTTCGGCCTAAAAAGGATTGTAGTGGCACGCTTAGCACTCCTAAGTTGGCAAAGGAGTCTATTGAGATGAAAAAATCAACTTCAAAATTGGTTCAAATGTCAATCAATGTTAATTCTGATGTTAAACTAATGAATAAATCTTCTTCAGTTTCCCACAAAACTGGAATAGAAAAGGCCTTCACTCCTCTGGGCAAGATGATAAGACAAAGCTTTGTCCACACACCAGCTCCAAGTACTAGTAGGGTATGTATTTTTCATCTCTGTTGTGAGCTTGTTGATATTAATTGATGAATGCTGTCTCCATCAATAGTGGATTTCTTCACAATATTTGCAACCCGTTTGATCCTCTCAATGGAATTTATTATCTGCAATGTAATTGCATAACTAAATAAAAAAAATAAAAAAATTCTATTATTGCAATAGAAGAACCTAGATGGAGGGAATTGAAATTGATTTGAAGAAATGGATTTAGTGGTGCATATTGCACTTGATAGAATCGAATGAAGTGAGTGGTAATTAGAGATTATTGTTGTCGTTTCTCTCTCTAATGATAAGGTGAAATTTCATTTCATGATTTAAACAAAGACCAAGTATGTTTATAGATATAATCTTCTAATTTCACACTTGGACCAATATTTTCTTAGTATTAGAAAGAAACCACTAAACACTTGTTGCAGACTTTGAACAAATAGTTTATTGATGTGCTAACTGTTTAAAAGCTAAACGGTTTTAGTGTTGTTCTGAACATTATTCTAAGAAGTAATGAGATATGTTTCGTATTGTAGGCATCTGTCAACAGTGTTTCACGGCATCCATCCGGAACTCCGCAAACAGAAAATAGGAGGTATGCTTTATTCAATTATTCCATTGAAGTGTTTCTTATTGTGATGTGCTCAACTTTATGAAACTTAAGCTTTCATGTCTGTCTACAGAAGCAGAATAGCTCTTGAGAAGTCATTTGCGAGGAATAGATCACTGGACCAGAAATTGCACTCGCCCTCTGTCAGGTAAGAATAACAATAACTCATCCAGCCTTATAAAAAGTTGAAGGTCTTGTCCATGAGACTTTTGTTCATAAAGCCAACAGTTAACTTCTAACTGAATGTTATCATGTGACTCAACTTTGCAATAGTTTCCTCAGCTTAATTATCTATACCATACGTTAAACTCATGTATTATATATGCAGTTAGGAATAAGGAGCAAGTTAATGTAGTTGGATCTCATATCATGCAGTATATGTATGTCTGTGGAAATGTAATTAGTAAAACCACGATATAAAATATAAAGTCTTAAGTGATGTGGTTTGTAACAATTAGATAATTGAATTATACAAGATACTGATCTCTCAGTCTGCGGGAGCTATTCTTGTGTTTACTTTCGATGTATTTCTTGGGATTTGTTTGCCCTGTTTTGATTCCCTATTCCAGATCTGATAAGTTTCTCCAGCATATGTTGTGCAAAGCTAAGTGTGACTTCATTTCTGTCATCTTCCTTGACGAGGAAAAAAAATAGTACAGCTAACATTATTTCTCATTGAAACTTTGACTGACGAGCACATGTCACTTGACAGTACTAAGAAGTCTGCAGCACAATCTCCAATCACATTCTCTCCTTTCAGTTTTAGGACTGAAGAAAGAGCAGTAAAACGTAGAGAGGTAAGCCCCAGATTTTTATGATTCCTTGATTTTACTGTGAATTAACTTCTCCTAATCTTTTGTTTTATATCTGCCAGTTTTTTGAAAGGTTGGAGAAGGAAGCAGAAAATCAGAAGATGCTTGATAAAGCTAAGGTGCTTATGATATCATAATTTTCTGAAACTCAAACATAAAAGAAAGAACTTTCTAATAACTGTGGGAAGGAGCCAAGGACCTAATCTAGGAAAAGGAGTATTTGTAAAATTCTGGACACATGTGCTATCACCAACACCTCTGTGGCTCACAATCTGTCTTATGACAAAAACTGATAACTAAATCACTCAAATAATCCATTGATTGCGCAATTGCTGAATGAATATCACTGGTTTTACTTAGTTTCTTCATATCTTCTCATGTAGTCAGCTTGATAAACTTGCCTTCTTTCCAGTACATATACTCATAATTGACATTTGTAAACCTGCATGCAGGTAAAATCAAAAGCTGATTTCAGGAAAACATCACAGAGTGTGAATTTATCCAGTGCTGCAGCAGACAGAAGAGAAATTTTAAGTGATAAAACAAAGGTCTTCCATCTTGTATACTGTTACTTACATCTTGCACCTTTTATGTTCGATTTTTGTTTATTACTAGTAATTTACATGATAAAGGGTTGTTTATTACCATTGTTCTCCTATCTCCTTTCAACTTTCACCAGATAATCTTGCAGGGAAACATAGCCATCCTTGCATGTTATTCAATTCTTTTATAACTTTGATGGGATCCAATCCTGCTTGTCCCATTTCTCTCTAGTCTCGTGCTTATTTTTGCTTTCACTTGCAGATTTCTGTTGCACGACCACTGCCACCAAAGTGTGAAAGTAAAACTTCAACCAACCTGGTGGGAGGAAGAAGCTCTCAGCCTCCTCGAAGTAACGCTGGTTCTAAACCTGCTTCAGGAAACAAGCCAATTCCAGTCATGCCGACCAAGAAGAAGAGACATGAAAATGCCTCTCCTAACATCCTTTGACAGTAAGATCTCCCAAATGGAAACTACTGTTAGCTTTCCACATTCCACCAATCCACCTTATGCTGTGTATTGTATTCATTCTCTTGTGAGTGTACAAGTTTTGCAGTCCATTTTTTTAAGATCACGGTGCTTGTGTATAGAAGGAAGACTGAAGTTATAGAATCAATGAATCATTGTCTGTCAGTCTCTAAAGTTGTACCACTTTGTGCTGAAAATAAAAGCAAGTAATTTACAGCCTATTCAGCTGTTTATGAGAGTTTATCTCTCGTACGAGTTATTTCATGTTGTTCTTTTGATTTAATGGAAATTTTGTCCCACTCTTACCACGCCAATGGTAGATATGACTTTAAATGTAATGTTGACATTACATTTTGTTATTCATTGAATTTCACTCAGATATAGTAAAATTAACACAGGTTTACCTAAATCACAAATCCCTGTGAAACACGATCTAGATGTACTCAGGTGTGTGAGCTGATGCGTAGTGTATAGTGTAATTTTGGACTAATTTAACAACACTAGGTAGGAACATCCGAACATGTTCCAAGCACCATAACATATCGCATTCTGACATATTCAAACATAATTCAAAGTGCAAAGATTTTACAGTTACAAATAGGTGCAAAAAATTTACAATTAGAAAAAGTACAAAGATTTAATCAAAGTAAAGAAAAGGTACCAAGAGTCCAAGAACCTGCTACATAGTACTGGTAGACTAATTTCATTTCTTATTGAACATATGATATTAAAGATTAAACCCCATGATCATTTGAGGTAGTTATCATCTCTTGTATTTGGGCAAAAACTGTTGAATAATTTAGAGAATGTAGACTAATTTCATGATTATTTAATTATATACTTAGGATAAGTAGGACAAGTGCGGTTGCCCTGCTTGTTATACCAAGAATCCATGCAAACCTCATGAAATCTGTGACCACATTGACCCACAACCTAAACGTAGTATGTTTGGATATAATGTTGAATTTCTCCAAGCAAATCGCGCATTCGGTGCAATTCTTAGTCACTAGTTTTACCCTCTCCAACTGGTGTTCCGTGTAGGGGATCCTCACATTGGTATAGAAGTTGATCAAGCCGGCGTGCCGGATTTTTCCACAGCCGGGTTATTAATCCACACTGCTGCATAGGTTCGCGTCACACCACCAAGGCTCATCACCCGGCTCCAACCTCGGTTCGGGGTTTTAGGCCTTTTCCCGACACTATCATTATCTCTAATACAATAATCTCTGCCGATTTAAAAATATCTAGGGATCGATACTCACCCGGACCGGGGGGCCGGGCCTCCACCGGTCCCCTGTTCGTTCGCCCTTTATAAAAAAACTGTAACAACTTTATAACAAACCCATTGACTCAGCATAACCGACTAACTAACTAAGCTCCTATAAAATAAAAGAAGTTTACCTGTTGTACGACCTTTTTCATGTTAATTCTTTTGATTCAATGGAAATTTTGTCCCTCTCTTTCCACGGCCATGGCAGGAATAATCTCTCTATATGTAATGTTGATGTACATTCCGTCATTCCTTGAATTTCAGTTAGTGTAAATTCAGCTCAAGGTTACCTAAATCATTAACCCCTATGAAACATGATACAGCCCTCACCAGATGTACTCAGCTAGTCAGTTGAATGAGCAACTATCTCCTGCCCTCACCAGTGTACGATCGGAGATTCGGAGAAACGCAGAATTCAATTGCTATAAACCATGCTACAAGTTGGGTTATGAAGTAATCAATTGCGCCATAGGAATAGGGAAGAAACCTTTTGTTCTCGGTATGAAATGCACACAAAAGTTTCAAAAAAAAAAGTTGATATTATTCTAAATTGTTGACACTCAGTGTTATACATGGCTCAAGAGTCTATACTAGGATGATTATAGTTATAATCCAGTTTCTGGTGGTACCGAACAAGTATTTCATGGAAGGTCTCCTTTACAAGCTCATTCATCTAGATCTGATCGAGAACAGATGTGATCAAGACGATATTATGCCCAATCAAGAAGATACTCATGATCCAACTTCGGCATGTAAGGTGGTAAAGGAGTTTCAGAGTCAAAATCTGGAAAATTGCACCCTGTGAATCCTATGTAATCCAACCCAAAATCTTTTGAGGTTACATCACCATATTGAAGCCACCGAAACATCATGTCCTCACTTAGGAGTCCAGAAGCCAATTCACTCCCGAACACTTGGTTTCTCAGCTCAGATTCAGAACTGATTACACTACTTGGATCAATTATGCTACGATTCTGACAAGAAATCTGCTTCTTCATTTCCAATGTCACATCAAAGCAGGGATCTAAACCTTGTGCATCTACTAGATGACTCGCGGGTTGTATAGGAAATGACTGAAGCGGTCTTTCAAATACAGGCTGTTCCTTGAAACTGACTCCCTGACTAAAGTTCTGACCTTTCATGTCAAAAACACATCCAAGAGCATCAGAATTTGGCACAGAATATGACCCAAGTGGGCTTTCCATAGGGGATAGTTTCCCTGTATCATTGCCACACTCGTTAGCATTCAAGGGTTTGATATCAGCGAGGCCTATGTTGTTGCTTTTGCTAATTGAAGTACCAGGACTAATGTGTGGAGCAGGCTCAAGAATTTCAGGACTGATATGCTGGTGCAAAATAGGCACAGTCGGCTGGTTGAAAGTACAACTCTCCAGATTTGGATGTGCCTTTAACTCAGGTTCAAACTGCAGGTGATCTGGTACTTCTCCGCTCCAAGGGTACTGACCAGAAACAGGAGAATCAAATGATGCTTGCTTTACACTCATATCCAAAGACTCATAAGTATGATTGAGGCCTAACTGTGAGTTCCTAGTGTGAGAATCACAATCTTCAGAACTGAAAGGTATTATATGTTCTGTTAGTGGCAACAATTTGCTGCTTTCTGGATCATTGTCAGGAGGTTTAGAATCAGCAGTCTGAACAGGCAACTGATTTCCCTGATATACATGCTTGCTAGTAATGTCATGTTTCCCAAAATTGGAGTTCTGGATACTAATAAAACTTCCACTGGATTCTTTGGCGGAATGATCTGGATTCTTCATTCCACCAAAAGAGTTTTCTTTATCTTCTTTACGCAGCCTGCTTAGATAAAGCCGATATTTCTGCATAATTAAGACAGTTTCCAAAAGAAAGTTATTCTACAGCATTTAGATACCATACTAGAGAAGAGAATAGTTATCAGAAACAATCGTTCAGATAAGTTTGGCAGCTAACCAAAACTAAGATGCAAAATTTTAGGAAATGCTCTTCCTGTTTGCAGATACGCGTTATGTTCACTTTCTTGTAAAACTTTTAAATACTTCTGTTAAAATAATGTTAAAAAGCACATATATATTATTCTTGTGCGAAGTATTTGTGTTAAAAAAATACTTTCATGATGCTGAGTCTTTTTTCATACTAACTCTTTCCCAAAGTGTTCATGACAAAATATGCCTATTAAGAAAACTAGTCGAAATAAAAGAGTACGTTTTTACTCTTGACCTTAATGGCTCTTCAAAATAAAATTTGAAACTCTTTTCTTCCCCCTGTTTTTTCTATGATTGATCTGATGGTATCAAGCTTGAAAGTAAGCAAATGTACTGAGAAATTTTAAAAAGGAATTACAAGCGGAAAATATGGGATAGAACAACATTATTTTGGAAGAGTTTATGTTGTAGATTCTAAAAGCTGAATCTGATATCACATATCTCACTGACCTATTATCCATCTTTTTTACAGTTAAAATCGTTCTTCAAACAATCTTTTTTATTCATTTATGGTGTAATAGCAGATATTACTGTGTATTGGATTATGGATCAATAAGAGATATAGGCTCTTTACTACCAACGGCTTAATTCTGTAGCACATCAACAACACTTTACAACAAGGGCAGGAACCTCTTCGAGTTCAGAGGCAATGGGGTAAATTTGATGTTAGCTCTATATGAAAATGATAAATGGACTTTAGCAGATATAAGCAAACAATAATTCAGAAATTTACTGACCTGCAAATGGCTAGCAACATTCTCCCTTGTTAACCAAGGAACACTCATGAGGTCCAATATCTTTTTCGGACCTATTTCTGCAAAATAAACAATTTCAGGGTTAGACAACAGACAGCAGTTTCAAGAATCCATAATTAACAGAATACTGGCAAGTATTTTACTCTCAAATAACATTGATGCTAATTAATGTAAACAATGAGCAACAATAGCAAAGCATCAATGACTAGAAGCACAAAAAAGATACTGCAAGAACTGTACATATGGTGCCATCATAGACAATCAGTTTAAGATTTTGAGGGAAAAAGTTTTACTCACTATCACTGTCAATGCCTAACTGATTTACAGCTTTCACAAATTTTTGGTGGAGATCCACAGTCCAAACAACTCTAGCTTTCTTTGTGGTAGAAGGATCACTTGAATCTTTTTCGATGTCTACATCCTTTCTTTTCTTTAAAAAATTTTGTTCACCTCCATAGAGTCCATCATAAGAATGGTCTGTTCCGCTTCTATCTTCAAAGCACTCAATGTCTCTCACGTCATGCATTCTCTTCCTCACAACATGCTGCCATATGTTCTTAAGCTCCTTCATTCTAATTGGTTTGAGGAGATAATCACATGCACCATGCTGAACCCCTTTCATGACTCTGCTGGTTTCCCCATCCACAGACATCACTGCATGAGGTAAATATTATGTAACTTGTTAGGATGTAAAAAAAATTCCAAGGTCAACAAATTTTAAAATGGAAAGAGAGTAATGCGATTCTTGATTTTCAAAAATAAAAAAACATGATAAAATTTAAGACAAAATTTGAAATCAATGAAGGTTAACTGACTTATAACTGGCAGGTCCATCTCAAGTCCAACATGCTCGAGAAGTCTGAAGCCATCCATGTCAGGCATGTTGACATCACTGATGACGATGTCAAATCCATCCTTTCTATCACGGAGCAATTTCAAAGCCTCACGAGCTAGCCCACAAGTAGTTACTGAACATCCATGATATAAAAGGAATGTTAAAAGAGTTCAGTTGCACGAAATATGGAGTCATATATAACATATAGATTTCTTTAACAAAGAGATTTCTTTAATTGAATGAATAACATGAAGTCTTTATATCACTATACATTTTGAATATCAATATGCTAAGTAAAGAAGATGAATCAAATAATCCATATATACAACTCAGCCTAAAGAACTATTTTGGAAAAATAAAACGAAGTACAAAAATTAGCAGTGAATACATTGGATTTTTTTATTTTTTTTTTTTTAAAAAAAAAGATAACTCAATCTAGTTAGTCATTGTTGCTGAGAAAAAAGGCGATTCTTCGTGGACCAAAAAGCAACTCTTCCTAGAGAAATTGTCTTCTAAAACTAGGAGCAGATAGAACTAGTCACTAGATATGAACCACCATCTCTTTCAACCTGGAAAGCTCCACTATTCTTTAGTAGTAAAGCAGATACCTTTCACAAAATTCTAACAAATTGATTGAGAATCTAATTCTAGAATAGGAAACGTTATCTTGGCTGAAACTCATTCAGGAGTTTAGGTTCAATTCCACACATCACATGAAACAACATAACCAACATGATAAGAATATAGTATGATTCAATTTGGTGATCAATTTGAGTATTTGACAGCCTCACATCAAGGTAATCGGCTAGCAAATCTAGTGTTTCTAAGTCACAATATTCTTGATTATGCAACCACCATATATCATTAGTTCTGTCAACATAACTCCAGAACTTAACTTTCAGATAAACATAATTCCAATTTCTCCTTCTCAAATTTCCTTGAAATTAGTTCCTCACACAGATAAGATAAGAGTCAACTGAGGTACCACAGCACCACACTTAATGAACTAACAACAAATAGGATCATCCAAAGTTCTTATGCATATTGGACCCTCCTGGCACTAATTCCATCGTTTTCGAATCGTAATATGTAAGAATCATGATCCGAAAATGGCATATAGTATCAAAGTTTAGAAAGCCTTTGTAGCATAAATCATCAAAACTCCTTAAAATCAACAAAAGCCCAACATGATCATATCTCAGAACACCCTTTTTGCTAAAACTAACTCACTTAATTGAATCATAAAGTAAACCCATGATCATAACAAATTACATAAGCATAATAAAATCTGAAAGAACCCTTTTCAATTCAAAGCATCAAAACACCAAAATCATCAAAATAACCCACAAAGAAACAGATTAATCATCTGGGCACATGCTCAAAAAACACTCATTCAAGCTTTTCATCAAACAATTAGACTGCAAAATCTGGGAATTGATCAATCAAAATCAAATATCATATTATACCTTCATAGCAACATTTCTTGAGCATCTTTTCCAGAATTTTCAACCAAGTAGGATCATCATCAACAACCAGCACCCTCAATCCAGCAGGAAATGTTTCAGTTCTCGGTGTCGAAAACCCGTGTTCCATACCCATTTTCTAATAGAACTGTAACTAAAAAATGGTGTAAAAAAACAGTTGTAGAGTCTCTCAATAAGTTAGTTGGGGAAATTCAGCAAATTCAAAAAAATTCAGAGAAGAAGCAACAGAAAGTGGGATATATATAAGATGGGAATTTATGTTGGAAGGTATATTTAATATCAAATTCCAAAGAAAAAGCTTTAACAGAAAGAGCTATCAATCTCTTTCAATCTGGAAGTTTTAATCTTTTGGGGGGAGAAATGAAGGAAGCTTTTTTGAGATGAAACGCAGAATATAACGAATATTTGGCGCCGGCTATTACTATAAATTCTAATATAAGCTGTTCCCTCTAGTCCTGTCCTAGGTTGCTACATAACGGTCCCGCCCCGCAAAAATGCTCCAATTAGATGGTTCGGGATTACCACGTCATTATTCTTCACGCATTTTTTTTCGGGTTTTGTTATTCGTAATTCATATTGATCTCTTAGTTAAAATCGAATAGGGGTTTAGATTAGGGTCGGGCTAGTTAATTTCAACTAGACCACTATAACTATATGTTTGGGAATGATATTTGTTCCATTCGATATGTTTTCAATACAGTTTGGGGTTTGTTGATCACAATTCATACTGATCTCTTAGTTAAAAACAAATAGGGGTTTATATTAGGGTCGAGCTAGTTGGTTAATTTCAACTAGACCACTATAACTATGTTTGGGCTCGAAATTTCCATTCAATTTGAGTTCAGTACGGTTTGGGTCCATTTAAGACTGAAATATGGTTAAATAAGTCATCAGTTTTGTTTCTCTTCCTATATATAAGAATTATTCTGGACATTAATCGACAAATGAAATAATCATTTCTAATGACATTTTAGTTCATATTAATTAATTTAAAAGGGATTTTGGTTTTTAAAAAAAAAAATTAAAAGGGACTTTTTTTTGTTTAAATAATCAAACATTAATAACACTAATCTATGCGTAAACTTTTCATGCATTTGTATCATTTTAGAAAATGTATTTAATGACTACTAAAAAAATCTTTGTCCACTTTCTAAAGATGTGTGTATCAAACTTCGATCATTTATCACCCCTCTTCTTTAATTATATGCTCACTAGTTAACTAGGCACCTGCAGTGCTAAAGTTTCATTCATGACTGGTGACTGATCAACTGTTACATGCTATATACAGTATAGTAACTCCCCTTAGGTAAGCTAGTTAGTACAACATAATAATAAAGTATGTACTTAATGAATCAATTTTTTTTTTTTTTTCAAAGCAAATATAATATATCAATAATTAAGGTAGCTAAAGATAATGTTGGTGCGCCACAATACAATTCTCTACAATAATAATGTTATGTGCATGCCTTAGACTAGGAATTAATATAATTAATAGTACTCTAATTACAAATAGATCTATGATTTGGCTAATTATCATCCGTACCTATGTTTTGACTTGTGCTTTTTATAGCAACACTTTTTTGGGAGAAACCCCTACACATCTATAAAGTTAATCCATTATTATTCCAAATAGTAATTAATATAGTTAATTAAGAAATTTTTTATGAAAGTTAATTATGTTTAAGATGCCCAATTATTCATATAAATTACTTTGTATAATCAAAAAGCATCTTTTTAACAGCAAAATCACTGGTTTAGGTCCAATACTTTTGAGCATTAGTTTTGAGAGTTTGTCCTATTTTAACAAAATTAGATTTGTATTATTATTATTTTTTTGTAAAGGTAATAATATAGTACTAATTTAAGCTAATATAAGTGAAATAATGTATATAATAAATTACCTCCATTTAAAGTTATATGTATTACTAGATCTGTGATTAGTGCCATGCATGAGCTTTCTGCTTTATAAACTCAATGGATTAGAAAAAATAATATTATTTTACCTACTCTCCAAGTAGTAATTCTTATTTATTGGTAAACATTGTAACATACCCTGGCCTCCATTCCTCCAACACATGCATGTACTGTATAAATTTATCCTTTAATTTTTATGCTTTACTTTTTATTTATTTTCTGGGATAATTTTTTTTTAATGCCATTCTTAAGTAAATAATTAGCTTATTAGAAAGAGCCTATGCAATTTTTTCCGCATGTTGATTTGCATTTGATAAGCTCTAAACAACTCAAATGATTGAGCACTAGAATAAAATTTACTTCCTCCGTTTATAATACTTACAACACACGCTTAATAAGCTTTTTCCCGGTATTATTTTAAAAAAGAGGGTTTTATATAATTTAAAACACTTAAGATAGAGTTGAAAGATTGTTAATAGTATAATAAAGTGGGCCATTAACTTTAAATAAGGATAATAGTACAACATTCACTAAAAGAAACATTCCAAATTATAGTGTGTTGTAGCCTTGTAGGTATTGTAACATTTTCATTTTAGGGGATTGTTGTAAGTATTAAAAAATGAATGAAGTAATTGTTTTACCAATTAATTACAGGTCTATATGTTCTTTTCATTTGATATAAGGACTAGTTTTTCTAATTTAAACACAAATATTAATTATGACAATCAAAACATGAATAATACTGGTCAATTGACCAGAATAGTAAATAAAAAAGACCCTCAGCGATATATAATTTGGTAAAACATATGAAGTATAACTCTAGCGACAATCAAACAATCAATCAATAACTATATACTAAAACACACACCAACAATGAAATGTGTCATCTCCTGGCGTGTCCTTAGTTTTTGTATTTTTTCCAAATAAAATTATATTATAATAAAGCACATCTTATACAAAAATAATTCATTATTCTTATATACAATATGGTTACTTAAAATATAAAAGATTTGGCATATATATATTTAGCACAAATATTTGTATAGCTTTAAAAAACATTCTAAACATAATTTTATTAAATTTCTACATCATTTTAGGTCTAACATATCTTTCGTAATCCTTTATTTTGATCATAATTTGTCAACTACATGTATTTTTAGATTATATTTGTTTATAAAAAACTAATTATAATGATAGTTTGATAATATATGGTTTTTAAAAATTATCGTGCATGGCACATGAGCTAACCTAGTTAGGCCAATCTCAAGTGAGAAATTGGTAAAAATATAAAAAATAATAATAATCTTAGGCGACATTTAACCTAAAAATGCAAAAAAAAATCTGACAAACTACTCGTGAATGCTTAATTTAATTCGTTTTTTTGTGGTTGTTTTTTTTAAAAAAATTCCCACCTAGATTACAACCCTTTTTAAGGAAATAACAATTTGAAGAAAAAAAAAAGTTTAGATGTTAAATTTTCACTTAATTTCCTACCCCTTATTAATGATTTTTTTTCAGAAAAGGTTGGAAATAAATTTGGTATCGTAATTTAGCAAAATAAAAAGGGGATGACATATTAATTCAAAATTATAAATGGAAAAAATAAATTTTAAAACACTAAAAACAAAATTATTAAGGTTTTTGAAGAGGTCGTCGGGGAAAAAAATTTAAAGAACTAATTAAAGAATGTTGAGAATATACTAGAAGGTATATGTTAACGGAACCCGTTTGAAATTCGCAAAACCAGTTGTCAAACTGACTGAGTCAACTCGAACCGGTTATGACCTGAACCAGTTACAACCCGAACCCGATTAGGACCCGATATGTTTTGACCAAAACCCGTTTTAAACTAACAAACCCCTTTTTCAAGTCTAATGTCGTCTATGTTTATTATTTTTACCAAATTGTCATATATGGTTAACTTTTTTTTTCCAAAATATCATCGGATTAAGTTTTTTTTACCAAATTGTCGTATATGATTAACTCTTTTTTATTTACCAATCTGATCAATTGACCAATAATACTTCATATTACATTGGGGGGTGTAGACACCCATTTGTGTCTCCCCAAAACCAAACCCAGTGATGAGTACCTTTCGCGTCGAATCATAATCGAATGAAGTGAAAGTGTGGAAAGTTTAGTGTTGCGGAAAGTTTTAATTTATTTTCTCTTCTCTCTGTTTTTGAAAACTTATTTTAAGAAAACAACCAATCCAGTTTGGTGGGTCCATGATATGGGTCCAATAGTGGTGTAGTTGGATGGGGCTTGACAAGAGCTTTCTAACGATATATTATAAGCCCAATTCCGATGAATATTGAGGAAGTTATGGCCAAATTACTGAACTGGGCCTGGTTTCAGCCTTATATGTGGTCCAATGATCTAGAGGAGGGCTTAATATAGATTTATCATTCCTAATGCAATTAGGAATGGTTTTAGTCTTCTAGATTCTTTTAGAAGGTTCTTTTCATTTCTAATTCAATTAGCATTGATAAATTGACTTTTGTTGACTTTTCAGAGTTTTAATTAAAATCAAAGAGCATTTTTGAGGGAAATACGATTTTATCCTCTTGTACGGCAATTTCTATCTGATTTAAGAAAACGCGTGATTTTCTGAATCAGCGCCAAACGCCAGCGTTGGCGCTAATTCTTGGCGCTAATTCAATTTTAGGTGCGCCAGAACTCTGTTTTGATATTTTTTTTAAGCTGATTTTCTTCATAAATAACGTCGTAAAAACTCCGTTTTCATTCACCAACTCTCATCAAGATTCTCTTGATTACTCTCTCTCTCTCTCTTTTCTAAACTAGCTTCTCTCAAATACAAAATTCCGCATTCATTAGATCTAGATACACCTAGCCATATTCGAAGTTGCCTTCGCCCTAGACGTGAAAGGTTTAACTTCTGAGGGTTTGGTCCCAAATCTCTTTTTTCATTATTTAATTTAGTTGTTTGATTTATTATTTTCCTTGAACTTACTAACGCGTGTATTTTGTTATTAGAAAGAGGTACGAGGCATCAAAGTAAGTACTTTAATGGTTTTAATTGATGTTATGTTCTAGAAATCATGCTTAGGGTGTTTTGATTTTTCTAGTATCATTTCTAGGGTAATTTTAATATCAAATATGACTGTTATGATGCCTCTTATGTTCTTCCTAATATTTATGATTGTTAGTATCATGTTAGGGTTAAAGCTTTGATTTTTATTGTTTAGTGACATGCTAGGGTTTGTTATTAATCTTGTTAGTATCATGCCTAGGATCTTGCTATTAATATGTTTTAACGTTGATATGATTATTTTAAGCATGACTATAATTGTTATAATTTATGATGATTATATTATTATGATTATTATAATTATTGTTATTATGATGATTATTGTTATGATGATTATTTTTATAATTATTGTTATTTTGATTATTATGTTGCTTGATATTTATTTTTATTTCTTGATCACGCCTTTTATGCATGTTTAAAGGGAATTTGTACTTGTAATCACGCTTAATAAGATAATTAATAATCTTGTTAGGGTTAATTTGATTATAATTCAAGTGATCGCCAATAATAGTTTTATTTGTGCATTAAAATTCAACCAACATAGATAAATAGGTTTAGGGTACGTTAATCCTATTGATTGCATGATAGTCAGAAAGCGCACATGAATACGATCAAAATAAAGTAGAGACCTATTATTAGGGCATGTTCAATCTCTTTTAGGTTGGATTTGTACCTTCATCCCCGAACCCTTATTTGGTTCAAGACCTTATGGATTTGACGATCTCTTGGATCGTTAAGGGGTGTAACCTTCACCTCGTGAACGGTTTACAAGTTCTTAAAAAAACTTGTTGGCGACTCTTTTGCTCTATCTTCTTCCCTTTTGGACGCCACCGTACTTTAGTGTATGATCACAGTGGGGTTCAAGCTATGAGATTAACACTTGAAATATTCCCTACAGGGGGCCTAACTAGGGTTTCATTCCACTCCATGCAAAATATCCTCTTTTTTTCTAGTTTTTGGTAAATGATCATGAATTCATGAGGCAACAAGTGTACGTTCACTTAGTACATGAATAATATGATGAGATAAAAATGAACCCTTAGAAAAAATAAAAGCAAGTGCAAGTGACACATCCTATCAACATAGAATTAGGACAAATTAAAGCATCCCTTTCAGGTAGGAGTAGTGACCTGACAACGCAATGCTGTCAATATTTATTTAATTTGATTTTGATAATTATATAATGTAATAGAGTGTGAATTTCAAGCCTTTCCAATCATTAATTTATATGAAAAAAATGTAAGTGGAGATAAAAAGGTGATTCCTAATTCCTAAACCCTAATAATCAATAAATTGTAGGGGAAAAAAAATTCTTGTTAATTTTTTTTAGGTTTGATTTATATAAGGGTTTCAATGGTACATAATTTAATTATCATCACCATCATCACTCTATGATTGAGTGTTTTCTACTATTATTAATATAAGCACCACTAATTAAGTTCTTGTTAAGTAATTATTAGTTAAATCCTTAGGATTTAATGCTAACACACCTAAATGGGAAAGACGGCTGATGATGACATCAAGAATGATCTACGAGTAATGATAAAATTAGTAACTCTCTAATTAAGTGATAATTTTATAAGTGTTGATTCCCTAATTACAAGAATTTTGTTTTAGTTGAGAGTGATTATTGGATGTTATTACTTCAAAGAATATATGCGTATTTAAAATCTTTGTCACTTAGAAGGGCCGCATATGTTCTACTAATTAGTTAAATTAATTTTTTAATTAATTGACATGAATGTAGTATTGCCTTAGATTAGTGACAACTATAACATTAAATAGTATTAAAAATGACAATTTTCCTTTAGAAAAGATCTCTTTGCACTTAATTATGGGACTTATCTTTTCCTTATTGACCAACAAGAATTAACTAGTAATTCTTAATTACTCCACATAATATTGCACTCATGTTCACAAACATTACATTTTTGTTTGATGTGATTGTAATTGAGGTCAAGTACACATAAAAAAGCATCATTAGTGGATCCAAAACTTTGTTAATCAACTTTTTGATTGGACAAGTGTCAATTAATAACTCCTCTTTAACTTAAATGCATGAAATATAATATATACTTAAAAAATTTACTTTTTTTTTTTAATCAAGCTTAGCTTCAACTTTTGAGAATATATAATATAAAAAAGTTGTTTTTTTTTTGGTTGTTGTTTTTTTTAGTACTCTTTAGAGAGTGGGGTAGGGAGTGTTTTAGAGAGAAAGAGAGTTTTCAAAAGTAACTCAATTGGCTCTAAAAGGACAAATGCCCACTAAAAATGTTTCTTTATTAATCCAAAAACTATATATTATAATATCTATTTATTGTACACTTTAAAAGAAAAAACTTAATTTTTTTTTAATAATAAAAGGAAGGAAAAAAAAAAAAAGGGACTAATTGGTGTCAAACAAAATGAGGATGAGCTCCATCCAACTTCCTAGAAGGTGGAAAATTCTTTTGCTTAATTTAATGAAAAGCAAAAGAATTTTCACCCATTTACCTTGATGGTTTATGCTCACAAATTTGATGCCTCAGGTGTTGTATTCCCTACATACCTATATATATTTGTGCAATTTTAATTCTTTAACAACCTATATTACTTAGACAACTAGCTAGTATTTACAATTTGTTAATTAGCTTAATAGAAGATGCTGGAAATATGTATTACTTAGACATGCATGATACCAACAATACAATTATTGCAACATGATACTTATATTGTGCATCTTTTAAGGATGTCCAAGTAATTTATATACTCCCTCCAATCTAAAGTTATGGACTTAGTTGACTTTGCAAAGACCTTTAAAATTAGTTGTTGAATAATGTTATTACAAATTGCAAGTGGAGTTAAAATAGAGAAGAGTTGAAGTGATTGGATGAGGGAAAGAAATCAATGGTTGATGTGATTAGAAGGAGAAAATGAAGATATAATATTTTAATAGTAGTTAACTTTTACTTAAAATGGAAAGGAATATGTATTTTAGGACATATTAAAAAGGTAATAGTGTGAACTTAATTATGAAGTATGAGAAGTAGAGTATTCTATTGAGCAAAGAACATCTAACTTAAATTAGATACGACTTCTACATAAGTACTTGGTAAAACTTAAACAATTAACCCTATTAATATATATAATGGATTTTCAGTTAATAAGTCAAGTGAGTTATTAACTAACAATTAAATGTCAAACAAGTTAAATGTAATGTAAGGTTGCAAACAAATAATATGTAACTTTTTATGTTATATTATAAATTAGTATAAGACGGTCTCATTCAAATTTGCTATTTAATTGGTATGATTATGTGAGGTTTGAGAAGAAAATCCCATTTAATTTTGACTTTTCTTGGCATCAGTCCTCACTCTTCAGATAAGTTATCCATTATCCAAATGGTCAATGACATTCATTTGGAAAACCCAGGCCCAATCAAGATTTCATGTAACAAATATAATTTGTAGGTCCAAACTTAAACTCTGGATCTAGATGGGCTAGCCCATTCATCAAAGCAAAAGGCCCATATAACCAAAGCAGAACAACAGAACCAATCAACCAATTGTCCCCAATATATGTTTGGTACTCCGTATATTTTTAAGGGATAAAATTGGAGTTATAGAAAACTTATAAGACGGTCTTATAATAATTTATTGTAAAATTAAAACAGTTAATTGTTTTTTTTTTTTTTTTTGGAAAGAGATTTCATTTTAGTTTTCACGAAGATATCTTTCAATGTCATGTCGTCTTCCCATAGAACTAATATGTCATTAACGAAATTTGTTTTTGCTTAAGCAATATGATTATTATTGGTAATTAACAAGAATCTTGAAAGGAACTGTTAAGTAGAAAGTGAAAACACTTTGATGGTCCAAAATAAGTACACCAACTACAACTTAAAAATCACAAGTGAAATTTGGAATCTAGGGGCAGTTAACAGTCAAAATCAACAAAGATAATAGGTTGATTTGGTTGCTGAGATATTACTGTTCATGATTTTGGTTTAAAAGGGTATAAAGTTACGTATTCAACCTTAGCTTAGAATAAAAACTTACAATAAAATAGAGTAAAGCTTCATTTATAATTTTTGGCCAGAATAAATTCACAAAGCTTTATAAATTATAATATTACAAAGGAAGATAATTATAATATTAATTAATACTAAAGAGACGTGAAAAATATCTTGCTCAAAATCTTCTGTCATTAGAAGAAGGTAAGATTAAGTTATGAGTTATGACAAGTTGGTTTACTTCTTCCTTATCCTTTCACTATAATAAGGGTTAATGGTTCATCTCTTGAATCACATCTCATTTTAGCTTTAAAAAGTCAAACTTTACAAATTTTAACCCTAAGGTCTTATTTGATAAATGACTTTTCACTTTATTGTCTTTTGACTTTGACCTTATTATATGGTCAAATCATAAAAAATATATTTTAAATTATTTAAAACCAGCTTTTCATCAACCAGTATTAACACGATGATTAAACAAACATGTTTTTAATAGTTGCTACATTTTCACATATTAAGCGATTGATAAGCACAAAAGTTGGTCATTAACTCGCTATGCAAATCGATTGTTGTAACCGACTTGATTGAACATACTAAATATCCTTAAGAACAATAATCCCCCCTTCATTGTTATTTGTTGATTACGTTTGGCATCTTTTTCTGAGAGAAAATAGTTAAAGTGTAGTCAATTAGTCATTAACTAACTAAAACTACAGAGTAACAATTAAGTAGTCTTATGTTAATTACCCAATCGGTCTATAATAGAAATCGGTCCAAATTCATGCTCATGATCAATTATAACAAAAGTAGCTATTATTGTACGTACAATTTATGAATCTTTTTGTGAATTAAAATGCTTTGGATTCAACACTTGAGTATCCTCACAATAGGAGAACCTTGAATTTTGTACTGATTTCTTCAAATTCTTACGAGATTGTTCTCCTCTACTTGTGTATGTCCTTCACACTTTTTAATTAAGGACCACATAAATTTGTCACTGATCTTTATCATTAATTAGCTCTATGTTTCACACACATAATCACACATTATGGTTAGTGTGTTTGTCAAAAAAAATTATGGTTGGTGTCCTTGGTGACAATAACCTACTACCATGACCAATATTAGTAAAATCGCGTCATATTATTAGAATTTATGAGAAGTTGGGGCGATCTGAAGGTCAATACTGGATGGAACGGAATATTACTGTTGTATTAATCATAAGAAGATATGAGGGTAACCCCTGCACAAATTCATCAAATTATTGAGGGGGGAAACCCAGAAGATACATAATAGAGTAACTTGACAATTCCTTCTCAGATTCTAAAAGGCCAGAGTTGGATGTCAAGCATACTTTTACTTACTTCTACACTAGGTTACAGATGCCTCGACCAGGAAGCGTTCTTATTTTTTGCAGCAGGCAATCTTCCACAACCTGAACATCTAAAGCTTCCTCTGATGTCTGAACACAAACAGCAGTAGAATATCTAGCAGGTCAAGAACATCCGATGACAACGTTTACAGTTGTTAATCCACCATCGCAGATTCGCAAGGTGAACATAATACCAGACACTATATACAATCAGTGGTTGGCTTCTTTAAAACAAAGTACTTTCTTAGGTTATGTTCCTCTTTCTCTAGCTCATATCATGTAATCATACACAAAGAAATGAGTATCAGGTGTTGCAAGTGGAAGGCTATCAATGTACAAGTAGAAACGGGTCAGGTTTTCTCTTGCAATGGTGATCGAGTCAACAACCTCATGGTTGTTTGTGAGAACCCACAAATCTTTAGAGGTTACCCTCTTTAGGCTTCCCCGGCAAAATGGGCAGGACCTTGATCTTGAACTCCTGTCAATACACAGTAAATTAAAAAGAAATATACCCTTGTAAATAACAGAATCCCATTTTGGCTTCAATTCAGTGAGAAAATAAGATGCAAATAAGGGAAACAAATGATGAAACAGAAGAGGGTGAGGATGCCTAGGACTATTCACATCCTACCATCCAAGGAAATTCACTCTGAAGGAGAATTTTCAGAAGCATACATTGCCTTGCCTATTCTCCTTCCCTTAATTCTTTTCTAACTGGCTCGGAAAGGGATGATCACCAAATTGTTACGGAGTAATATATTTCGGATCCTAAATTAAGGTTTCAATTGCCAATATCAATGTCATGTGATCCATGTTACTTACCCCCTTATCCGGAAAGCACATCCTCTCAAATGTAAGATATTAATATGATCAACCATGACATGAACCTATTCCTGTCCTACCTGTTAATCAACCAAAACAAAGAATTGAAAACCCTCATTTGCTATACCCTCTTCACTTCCCCCAACTGAATAACCTTCCATTGAAAACAATGCCAAAGAATACAGAGACTTAAAGCAGTAAGAGAGGAATACAAGCATACCAATCATGAAAGCAACTGATGCACAAGGAATGACCGCAAGTGGGCAGCACCATCTTAGTGCCAGGTTCCATACAAATCCCGCATTCATCATCCCTCTCCGAATCAATATCAGGAAGTTTCCACTTGTCATCCAATCTCTTTCGGCTCATATTATCCGAGCTCCTAGATTTTTTGCTACCTTCTTCCAATTCAATCAGATTACCTTCTAGCAGCCTAAGTGACGGGTATATCACAGCTGCAAGCAAACATTTCCTAAAATTCTTCAAATTATGCTTCAAATGTGAACATATACAGTAAGAAAAAAAAAAACCATCAAAAGACTCATTTTATTATACCATAGAATTCCCTTAAAGACGCCTTCTTTTCTTGGGAAGACATTGTTGGCATTCCATCAACATAAACCTAATCAAAAGCATTTATTTCCAAAATGTAAGTTTGTTGTCAAGGAAGTAATAAGAAAAAGGAAATTACTCTCTCCGTCTCATTCTATTTGCCCCATTTGACCCAAATAAAATGAGATAGATATAGTAACGAAGAACATGTACAACAACATAGGGTATTAGGCAGGCGCACCTTGTATACTAAAATTTGATGCAGTCCCAAAAAATTAGGGAGGGCATCTGTACAACTATAATCCATCAATTCTATCAAATATATGAAAAAGGGTGCCAAAGGACTGTAAGATAGTCTCATCTGAACACTATCTCCACAGTAGTCCCTTGGAAGAGAAGCTGCCCTGGAAATTTAAAAATACAAATTTAATTCATAAATCAGTATGAAACACTCTAAGAATCAAATCAAAAACAGAATTTGATAAACCCCAGAAAAAGGGGGATGCTACACAAATGCAAAAGGAATATAAATTGTCACCTAAAAAATATTATAAAATTATACAATAAACAAGCCCCTCAACAAATTAACTTTACCATTTCCATGATATTTACTTGCTTACACCAATTTTGAAGTTTTAACCATTTGCATGGTATACAACACCCAAAAATATGAATGAAAAAAACAGAAAGTGAGAAGAACTTCAAAAAATATATAAATAATTTACAAATTAGAGATATGCTTACAAATATGAAATATCCCATTATGTTCATGTATTAGAAACTCAACTTATAAAAACAGAAGATTGAAAAGCTTACAGATTATTGGCATGCTGAATATCAGCTTCAAGAGCTTTGATTGATTCTCTGTAAGAAGATTTGCTGGGCTGCTTCTGCCACATAAGTCCTGTTTTGAACCTTTTCACCAGAATTTTGTGACTAGAAAAATACACCTATGAAAACAGGGAAGGATTTTAGAGAGAGAAAGTTTTCTAGAGAGAATGTTATAAAGAAGAGCAATAAGGAAAGGAAAGGGGTATGTAGTGACAACTTTAAAAATTAGTTGCCATTAAAAGATAAGTATAAGATAAAGCACACTTGCTTAACATTGAAACCTTTTTCCTTCTCCAAGGAAAGAAAAGGATGTCTTCAATTAATCTCTCTTCCAACCTCTGTCTTAACTTCTTCTCCAAATAATTTTGTGCTCAGACTTGTATTCAATTCCAATTATTTTCATTTTTTAATGTATGTTTGGAAAATATAGTCAATAGTGTCGTCAATTCTATGTTAAAATAATGCGTCACATTTAAAATTGTCAAGCTAAACTTACTGAAATCGTATTGTAAAACATCATTTCTTAATTTCTTCAACAAAACCATTTTAGTAGATGATACAATGATATAAAGATCAAGATTATTAAGAATTCATTACAAAATTAATTATGACATATATTCGTTTAGGAAATCAATAAATTATTATGTGATGTATACCCAAAAAAAAAAAAAAAAAAAAAAAAAAAAAAAAAAAAGCTCATGTAACAGCCAAATTACCAAGAAAAGTGATGCCAGAAGCTGATCAATGGATCAAAATATGATAACTTAAGAAGTACCCAAATAAGATGACCTGTTATATTTGTTACAAGTTTATCACAGATGATTTTTGGTATTTTTAAAGCAAGTCATCTCACTTTAGCAACCTATTATGGGATTGTTTTATGCTAAAATTTCTTTAGCAAGGAAAAACAATCTTAAAGCACACAGGAGAAAACACCTTCTTACTTTAAGGATGATAACCAAGATTAGAAACATTTAAAATATACCCTTTCATCAACATTTGGAACTAAGGATCATGGCATCGGTATACAGTCAAATTAAAGTTCAACTCTCGTGAGAATTATTATTTTTAAGGTATGTTTTCACGAAGAACTCAACCTTGACGGAGGATATGACTGAAATTATACGTACTTAAACGATTATACCCATGTGCCATGTCACATAGATATCAGACCAAGGTGTTCTTGAACAGTTAACATATCCATTGTGATGTGAAGGAGAGTATAAGAAGAAAACGGGAATATCTAAAATTGTGAGCCTAAGCTATGAGATAATTGGGTTAGAGCATAGAATCATGAAAGTTAGAGCTCAGCAGTCAGCACATAATAGAGTGTTTTCTCATCTTTGTCAATAAAATGAGAGTAAATTGCTATGTTTTGTGTGGTTTCCTTGGAATTGATAGAAGATAGAAGTCCTATTGTTAATTAATTAATTAGTATTATAAGAATTGCAAGGCTCTCATATTGTCTCCTTTGTTTCATGTTACAATAGTAAATTGATCAGTGTGAGTAAGAGAAAAACAATGTGTGTAGTTTCCTAGAACTTCACAGTGCTTGTTAGGTCATCATTCCTATTGAGAACTTTGTTCACTAGTACAAAGAGCATATTCAAGAAAAATGTACTTGTATTGACTTAGTTCATTTTTAATTAAACCTATAATTTAACTAGGGACATTGATTTTGGCACTCCTAAGATCGATTTCGACACTAGCTCCTCATTGTTAGTAGAACAGAAAAAATTGTGTTCTTGCAATGGGAGTGCCCAAATCAGCTTTTAGAGGGCCAAGATCACTTGCTGATAAATAGTTTAGGTTTTAGATCCTAACTATGACAATATCTTGTAAAGTAGCCCAAGAAACCCTACCACAGCAAGATCCTTAAAGCAGAAGTGGGTCAACTGAGAGTGGATGGACACTGGTAGAAATTGGAATGGAAAACGGAAGGGCATTTTAAAGACGAAAAAAGAACCCTGATGATAGGGGTATAATTGTGTTACTAATAATGGCCTAATGGGTGCACATTGCACAGTTACAGGACACCAGCCTAATGAATAATGGAGATTTTTTTAAGATGTTACGGTAGACCAACTATCCTCGGAATGCCTGGAATGGAAAGGTTTAATAAATACACTCTGTAATTGAATTTCTAGGATTATAATAATTATATTGCATTCCATTGGATAGAAATGAATGGAGAAAAATATATACATATATACACGCGTAACTCATAGGGCCGTGGGGGTGACAATGTAACATTTATTTTCATGCAGCTAATACCATCCCTCTAAGAATTTAGGTTGGTAAAATTGGTATTGTTCTAATAGTGTCAATGCAATAACTCCCACGAAAAAACCAAGATAGGGTACTTGAATAAAATCCAAAGAAAGAAACTTATAGTACTAGCAAACAAACATACAACCTCTTAAAGAGGATAACAATAATACTGATGAAAAAAACTACTGGTATGTAGGGGTGTACAAAAACTGGACCGGACCTGAAACCGGACCTGAACCGACCTGATCCGGACCGGACCTAACCCGGACCTGTTGATTCAGGTCCGGTCCCGGTCCTTAAAAATCAAGGTTCCCGGTTCCGGTCCGGACCCGGTCTAAACCCGGGGTTTTCAGGTCCGGACCTGAAACCCGGAAAAATTGTATTTTTTTTTTTAAAAAAAAAAAAAAAAATCAAAAATCAAAATAACGCTGCTGCTTGAGTGACGCTTGAATTCTCTTTCATTTCATTCTAACCCTAACAAACAGGCTGTCTCCCCCTCTCCCTCACGGAGTCACGCACTCACGCTCACTGTCTCCAGTCTCAGCCCAACGCGGCAACGCCCACCGCCGGCACCTCCTGCCTTCCTCACTCTCTCAGGCGAAGCCCAGGCGCCCACCGACCACCGCATGAGACAGCTACTGCGCGATTTTCCATTTCTCCGGTAAGTTATTTTTTTTTTTTAAATGTAAATCTAAATTATCTAATTATGTTTGGGTATTTTGTATTCGAAATAATGAATTAAGTGTTAGAATTTATATGTTTATTCATGTTTCAATTGCTTATAATGATTATTTGATGTTTGCATGTTGAATTTCTTTTTTTTACTTCAATGTTTTCGAATTTATATTTTTTCTTTTTTGGTTTATTTTCGAATTTCTTTCGAATTTATGTTTTTTTTTTTTGGTTTTTTTTAGTTTAAAGTTTAGGGTTTTAGGGTTTAATGTTTAGAATTGATAACAAGTATGGTTTATCTTCGAATTTATGTTTTTTTTTTGGTTTTTTTTAGTTTAAAGTTTAGGGTTTTAGGGTTTAATAAAATCAGAAGAGCAGAGAAAGTAGTGATTAGATTGTAAACATCTAGTAGTCTAGTGTTTATCTAGTACTTTGCATTGACCTTTGGCATGGCTTCAAATTGAATAGTTGATTTTATGCATTCGGATGCATAAATTCTATGTTATTAGTCATTATATAAGCGTTGTTGCATAAACTTATCATTGCAGAAAAATGCCCAACTCTGCTATCAGAAAGTGTGCTCGTGTGCAGTTGATTAAGAATGGAAAAAAGATTGCTGCTTTCGTGCCCAATGATGGTTGTTTGAACTTCATTGAGGAAAATGTAAGTCCGTTCTATTAATGTCTGCAAGCATATATGCACTTACTGTTTCATAAATTGCTTGGTTGTGAATTTGCTGGTATTTTGTGCCTTTCGACACAAACTTAGTGATACACTAGCAGTTTGTTAACTGTCATTTGTTAACCGTGTTAGAAATAATGTTGTTTGTTAAAGTTTAAACAACTCCGATTATTTGTTAACCTTTGTAGAAACTCTTAAAGTCTAAACAACTCCAGTTATTTGTTAACCATTGTAGAAATAATGTCAATTCTGTTGTGGATTTTTTGGAGAAATACTGGCATCTGATTACTGAAGGTTTAACATTAGTAACAATGCTTTTCTTATACTCATATCATAAACTCTTGATAACAGTTTATCCAGAAACATATAAAACATGATAGTGCGCACTCTTTCTGTGCTGGTTTATCTGATTCTTCTGTCAGTACTCCTGCACCCACTCCTGTTCAGTACATGTGCAGCTTTATTTTTGTGGTTTAAGACTATCATAACAGTATTGCGGTGGAGAGTATATAGCTTGAGCAATTAAGATCAGTCATACACTGTTGGTTTTTTATCCTTTCATGAGCAAATCATCTGGAAAAAGCTGTTCTAAGATAATGCTAATTCATACTTCTTATCAAAGAACGATAAACTGTTCCCTTTTACTAAAGAAGTTACCTGATTGGTAAAAGAAGTCAAGGTCTTCTGTTATATGTATGTAGTTTAATGTTGTGTTTGGGTGTAGATTCATGCTGAAAATGTGGATCATGCAGAAGTTTGTGGAATTTTGTCTAATATTTGTTACCTGATTATATTGTATTTGACTTTGAAATTGATATTATCTAGCTCTGTTTTTCCTTCCATACTAAGAAAATGTGGTTTGTGCAGGATGAGGTGTTGATTGCTGGATTTGGTCGTAAAGGACATGCTGTGGGAGATATTCCTGGAGTCCGATTTAAGGTTGTCAAGGTTGCTGGTGTCTCTCTTCTAGCTCTGTTCAAGGAAAAGAAGGAAAAACCCAGGTCCTAGGTTAAGGTTGTTGGTTTTGTCTTAAATTTTGCCTACTCAAATGAAACTTGTACCGTCTTGAAATGAATACTGAGCATCCTTAAAAAGAGACACCCTCCCTACTTTGTTTTGTGCTCTATCCGTGTCTATTCAAGATGATTTTCTATACTCTTAGTTATTTGCTTATATTTCCAATTGGTTTATTTACTTCTCTTAACGATGTCATGAAAATTTCCGGAATTTATGTTAACAAGATCAGCTTTTTAATGATCTTGCATTTAAAAAAAAAAAAAGGTCTTTGGATCTCCTAAAAACTGCTTTAAAACACAACAATTAACCATTCATTCATTCTCAAAGATGATGCTTAACTAGGCATTTGTATTCAGGTATGCTTCATGGAGTGTTATGAAAGCAACTGCACTTATATTATTAATATATATTAGCTCACTTGATTGAATTTTTTGGTGAACATTTCTTGCAGAATATTCCTCAGAAGTTCATGGAGTGTTTCAAGGAGAAACTCTCCCCGTGGTGTACACTTATAGCGCCAAGTAAACACAAATGGAAAATCAGACTCTCGAGTACATATGATGAAAGGCCATTGGTGTTTACAGATGGATGGAAACAGTTTGTTCGTGACAATGGAGTGGAAACAAAAGTACTTCATATCGAATAGGCGGGATCTTAAACCTGGAGAAAAGAAAAGGGCTTCCAAGATGGCAGAGTGTTATAGGCGCAGCATGAAGGATAATAAGAGAGTGTTTCCTGTGTTTCAGATAGCCAAAAGTACTTCATATCGAATTTATGTTTTTTTTTGGTATTTTTGGTGTTTGAGAATTGGGACTTTATACTTTTATAGACTTTATGTAGTTTTGTACTTTTGTGATTAATAATTTTGGTTTGTATGTAATTATTTAATTATGCAACAGGTCTAAAAATCACAAAACAGGTCCATACGCAGGTCCATATGCAGGTCCAACAAGTTTTTTATTAAAAAAAATAAAAAAAAAACGAAAAAATCACAAAACAGGTCCATTCAGGTCCAAACCTGGACCGGACCTGATTTTTCAGGTCTAGCCCGGAACCGGACCTGTTAATTCAGGTCCGGTCCCCGGTCCTCATAATTACCCAATTCAGGTCCCCGGTCCAAACAGGTCCGGTCCGGTTTTGGACCGGTGTACACCCCTACTGGTATGAACCAAACAAATGTAATGGTACTTTTGAAATATGAAAAAAAACAAATTAAATGAACCTTTTTACTGGAATTTAGTGAGGGTCACAGTACCTACTGATGAAATTTGGACTAACCTTGATTTGTGTTCATATGAAAGAAAAACACCACTCTTCATGGCTTTTTTGAGCTTTTAAAAGGTGATGTTGACTTGGTCTAAAGGGACAAAAAAGAAAAGAGAGATTTAGAAAAACAACTATACTATAAGTGCACATAAATTAAAGAGAAGGGGGACAAATGAAATAGAATACTAAAACACAAAATAATGGCATGCAAAATCCAGTACCCTTGCATGGTAAAGAACTAAAGATCCCTTTGATCGTATTACAAAACAATCATTTTGTCATTATATTTTTTATATTTTGGTTATTGTCCATGACAGCTCCATGGGCTGAAAATAAAATGTGGAGCGTGCAATATTTTAGTGGAACCTCTATTTCTTCTAAGGGCCATTAATTGAAAACATTTGCATACTAATGAGTGATAGCACGACTAATCATGGAACTCGTCTCGTCTTTGACTTCTTATTTTATTTTTCAATAGTAATTTTTAAAATTTTCGAATGTTAGAAAAAGTTATCACTTTTCCTAAACATATTCTCTTTCACGTAAAAAAAATAGGGGGAGGGGGTTGAAAGAAGACAATTATCATATTTCATAAGGATATTTCAGTGAAATAGTGATAGATCCTTAATAAGAGTTTGAGACAATATGACTATCAATCGAGATTCCTAACCAAGAGAGTACTTGTTAAGTGTCCAATGATAGAATAGAGCACTCAAAAGTAAGATTTTAAGATGTAACACATACTAAGGAGGGTTAAACATTTAAAACTGTCAATTTAAGATAATAAAAAAAATTGAAAGACAGATACTAATAGTGAAATAGAGAAGGTATACAACCAAGATCACAGTTTAAGAACCACAGGAAATATTCTAAGATCAAATCAAATCTAATGGTTAAGATTCAATGATATGACAATCTCTCAAATGTCAGCATAAATAGGTCCACACGGTTTGTGTATAGAGAGTTCAGATATGTGATTAAAAAGCGACCAAAATTATTATTCTACTACGATTCTTGGCAAAGACAGCAAATAGGCTGATTCCAATTTACTCGAGTGCTTTCTTTGGCTTTAAAGTTGCATGGTGTATTCTTTTCCAAAGGTAAGTAAAAAAGTAAAGCTTAAAATCAAGCAAAATGACTTTACTCAGAAAAAGCAGATTCCATCATCTAACATTCATATAGAAAACTGAAATTGAGGAAAGTAACAGTTCAGAGCCGTGATTGAACATTAAACACAGCCAAGGAATATGTAAATTACTCCCTCTGTCCGAAATTAATAGTCGCAATTTACTAATGCTAATTTAACATGTCTTAATTAAAAATATTATATTAGCAGTGTATAATTAGAATTTTCAATATGACTGCACAATTTGAGTAAAGTGGTGAGAAAAGGATAAAAGTAGGCCAATATAATTTTTTTTTTTTTCTTTTGAATAAATAAAAGTAGGCCAACATTATGAAAGGATCTTTTTGAAAGATTAAATCATGCAAATTTTAATTTTATAACCTAGAATTGAGACAATATGACAATTAATTTTGAATAGAGAGTTTTCGTAGCATAATTGGTTAAGCATTTCTCGATTCAAAACTATTCCACGAAAACGAAAAGTAAAAGCTGAAGATAAACAAAAGCAAAAGGTGCCCAAGTAAAAGAATTTGCACCAAAAACCAAAGCACAAAAATGTTTGTTATTGAAACACTGAAAGAAGTTTAGTGTAAGAGTATATAGTTCCTCTCTCTTTTCAAGATCTTAAATGGGTTCATATTTCCAGATTCTGGCTTTACTTCTTCTCTCTTTACCATGTATATACTCCCAAGTAACAGGTATGTTATGGTAGTACTACTATTAACTCAGATTCATAATGAATTTAAATTTTAACATGTATTCAACCTTCAAAGCTAATTTATTCATATGATTATATGCAGAGTTTACCAGTATAGATTGTGGAGGAGATGGTAATTACAGTGACAAAAAAACTGGGTTAGCATGGATTTCAGACAATGGAATTATGAATCATGGAAAAACAGTAGATATTCAGAGCTCAAATGATGAATGGGAACCCTACAAAAAGAGAAGGGATTTCCCAACAGATGACAGGAAATACTGTTATACATTAGACACAAAAGAAAGGAGAAGGTACCTTGTAAGGGCAACATTCCTATATGGAAGCACAGAAACTGCTGACACATACCCCAGCTTTCTGTTATACTTGGATGCAACTAAGTGGGCAACTGTAACGGTGTTCGACGGATCGAGAACGTATGTTAAAGAGATGATCATCAGAGCACCTTCAAGCTCCATTGATGTCTGTCTTTGCTGTGCAACTACAGGGTCTCCCTTTATCTCTACTCTGGAGCTTCGACCACTGAATCTCTCAATGTACGCCACGGATTATGAGGACAACTTCTACATGAAGGTTGCTGCTAGGGTGAACTTTGGAGCTCCTACGAAAGATCCCATAAGGTATGAATCAATTTCTTGGAAAATACTGAGTAACTGTAATGTATGACAAATATACTCTGCATTGAATGGTTGTGATTTCTTTTATTGAAACGACCACAAATTGCTTATTATATGTGTAACATTTATGCAAAAATCTCTTGACAGTCCACTATGTTTTGTTGCAAAACCATGAGTATCAAATACAGATTTCTTTTCAATTAAGGTACCCGGATGATCCATTTGATAGAGTATGGGAATCAGACCAAGTTAAAAGGCCAAATTTTCTAGTAGGAGTAGCTCCAGGAACAGAAAGAATCGATACAACGAAGAACATAGAAGTTAATAACAGAGAGTATCCACCAGTTAAAGTGATGCAGACTGCGGTTGTTGGTACACAAGGGTACCTAACCTACCGGCTGACCCTGGAGGATTTTCCAGGCAATGCTAGAGCTTTTGCATATTTTGCAGAGATAGAAAATCTGAGATCGAATGAGACTCGGAAATTCAGAATGGAGCATCCTTATGTACCTGATTACAGCAATGCAGTTGTGAATATAGCAGAGAATGCTAATGGAACCTACAAGCTTTATGAACCTAGCTACATGAATGTGACTCTGGATTTTGTTCTGTCGTTTTCGTTTGTAAAGACACCAGACTCAACAGAAGGTCCGCTCTTGAGTGCAATTGAGATCAGCAAATATGTTCAGATTGGTTCAAAAGCTGATGCTCAAGATGGTAGGTTTGTGATGTGATACAGAAATAAATGAAATTTAGTTTTTAGTAGATATTGACTCACCTAAACAAACCCCAACTGATGTTGATAATGTTTTTTCTACTGGAAGTGATTGCACTTAATGCCATTCAAGCCATGCTGCCTGCTGAACCGGGTAAACAAGATAAAGGGGATCCTTGCACTCCAACACAATGGGAATGGGTAATCTGCAGCTCAACTTCACTACGACAAATTACTGCAATGTAAGTAAGACTGTTAGAGTTAGAGCTAGTTGCATTCAGTCTAGTAGAGAAACTGTATACTGCATACTTATAACTTCCCAAGGTGAGCAGTCTGCAATGTCAACTAAAAACCAAACTGCTCTATACATATGCAAGGACCAATTCAAGATTTGAATGTGGGTGAAAAGCACCATAAGAAAGCAAGCAGCATGATCAAACTGTTCGTCAAGAAAAAAATACAGATATCTTACATATCGAAAATTAGTACTAAAGGTTTCTCCTTGTTTTCCATGCAGACATTTATCACAGAGAAATCTGACAGGGGTTATACCACCTGAGATTCAGAATATGGATGCACTGACAGAATTGTAAGCTTGTTTTTCTGATTCATGGACTAATTGAACTTGAATATATTTTCAGCAGCTATTCATTGTATTTCTAACATAATATCAGGTGGTTGGATGGTAACTCCCTCACTGGACCCATCCCTGATATCAGTAGCCTCCTCAACTTAAAAATTGTGTAAGCTACAGCTCAAACATGCATAGTATTGATAAGATTTCTGGCAACATATTGATGATGTTCTCACACTTTTCTTCCATGGGCAGGCATTTAGAGAACAACAGACTCAATGGATCTCTACCCTCTTATCTAAGTAGCTTACCGAGTTTACAGGAGCTGTAAGTCTCATAAAAAAGAGGCAGACCCTCTCCCAACTTGCCTTAAAACTCCTATCTCATGATGGAATTGCATGTAATTTAATACAACCAATTGGTCTGGTACTCAGCAATCTAGAACTTCCTGTGCAGGTACATTCAGAACAACTACTTCAGTGGTAAAATACCTCCGGCATTACTAAGCAAGAAAATTAATTTCAAGTGAGTACACCTCAAACAAATGCAGAAAACTCAATAAACTAATTATCAGTCCCAATGCTCTCCAAGAGGCTCTTAGTGTATATAGCATCTGGCAATGTAGGAAGGTTATTGTGGTTCTAAAACATATGTTTGTTGCAGCTACAACGGAAATTCTGGGTTAACAAAAGGAATGCAACTAGGGACAAAAGTGAAGCTGGCTGTAGGAATTTCAGTGGCAACATTGGTAGCTTTAATAATCCTAGTAATTTGCTTATTACTGCGGAAATTCAAAAGAAAGGCATCTCAGCAAAATAGTTATAAAGGTAACTTTCTGCTTATTACCAGAATTGTCAAATACATCAAGGGCGAACAGCTTACAAAAATCTATTATATTTCTGTATGAAGTAGGGGGCTCCTTGCATGCAATTACCAAGCCTCAGAACCGCCATAACCTCACACGAGGGGCGCATCTAATGGATGACGGTGTAGCTTGTTGCATTAAGCTGTCTGAAATAGAAGCTGCCACTATGAAATTTACCAAGAACATTGGAAGAGGAAGCTTTGGAGTTGTCTATTATGGTAGGATGAAGGATGGCAAGGAGGTTGCAGTTAAAATCATAGGTGACCCAACAAGCCAGGGAACCAAACAATTTTTAACCGAGGTAATCTTATCTCCACCTTTATATGTATAAAAGAGTTTACAATCATACACATTTAAGAAAGTGGCCAGGAAAGCAGTTCTGTAAATCATGCAATTAAATTCAGCTCGAATGTGACACAATTCATACAAAGCTTAACTTTGCAAGTTCAGCTAAACATGAATAGTACAGAACCATCTTAAATCCAATTTAGAAGCATTATCAAGCTAAGTTAGTAAATCTTAGTATACTCAATTTTACATGAGAGAAGTCCAGCAATATCAACCCTAGATATTTAATGTTGCCTAATGAACCATATGATAATTGCAGGTTTCCCTGTTATCAAGAATTCATCACAGAAATTTGGTTCCTCTTATTGGATATTGTGAAGAAGCAAACCATAGAATTTTGGTCTACGAATACATGCATAATGGGACCCTGCGAGACCACATACACGGTCTGCTGTTCAAACCCAATTTCTTACTTATACTGTCTGTAATCATGTCTTAACTTATACAATCTGACACCTAATATAAGTCACCGTCTGACAGATCCTATCAAACAGAGACAGCTAGATTGGCTAACTCGTTTGCGCATTGCAGAAGATGCAGCTAAAGGTATTACATTAATAATTTTTCTCCCTGAACTATATGGTATCAAAGACATGCTAAATTCTGGCTTCACAGGCCTTGAATACTTGCACACTGGATGCAGTCCTAGTATCATTCACCGAGATGTAAAAACTAGCAACATCCTCTTAGATATAAATATGAGGGCTAAAGTAGCAGACTTTGGCCTTTCAAGACAAGCTGAAGAAGATCTCACTCACATATCAAGCGTAGCTAAAGGAACAGTAGGATATCTAGACCCAGAGTAAGATTCTTCATGAAACATCCAAGTAATCATTTTTTGTTTCCTAACATGCTCTCTACCTAACTGTTCATGTACCTTGCTCCTGTAGGTACTATGCATGTCAGCAGCTCACTGAGAAAAGCGATGTATATAGTTTTGGTATTGTTCTCTTGGAACTGATAGCTGGAAGAAAGCCCATCACAGAAGATTACGGGACTGACTGGAATATAGTACACTGGGTATGTTTTGTTTGCTTCATAATTCAGGGTTATTATATGTTTAAACCACTGGATAGATTATTCTTACAGAAAAAAAAAATCTTAGGTAGCATTACGAACTTCCAACATATGAAACATGAAATTAATGTGGTTTCTGGCGGTCTAGCCTCAAAAAGTGACAGCAGATACTAAACTTCATTATCAAGTACTCATGCCGCTAACCAAGAATAACATGCCATACATTATGAATTAAAAACACCACAATTGATATGCAGTTGCTTGGTTAATATCTACAACACTAGCAAATTATGTTTTACTAACATCAGTGATAAATTTTGCCCTTCTGTAGGCAAGATCATTAATCCGTAAGGGGGATGTTGGAAGCATGATTGATCCTTTGCTAGCAGACAGCGTAAAGCTAGAGTCTGCTTGGCGAGTGGCTGAAGTAGCCATACAATGTATCGAACAACACGGAACCTCAAGGCCTAAAATGCAGGAAATTATCATGGCTATACAAGATGCAGTGATGTTAGAGAAAGGAGCAGAAAACAACCAGAATATTTCTTCAGGTAGTGGAAGAGCACAATCTTCAAGAAAAACATTGCTGACAAGCTTCCTTGAGATAGAGAGTCCAGATTTGTCAAATGCTCGTTTAACCCCATCTGCAAGATAAGCATGTAAGATAATTCATGTTACCCATACAAATGTAGCATAACATTGCATAATCATGTGTTGTACAAAATTACTTCATCTAATTAGTTAAGGTGATAAAGTTTGAATTTTGGGCATGTCCATTCAAATTCCTATTACACTCTTTGCACCACAGACTTTTGTCCGTTAGAAATTACAAATGATTAATACAAATAAAATAGAATACAACGAGACTAATCTTTGTCCTTGGGATAATATTAGCCCCATATACATGCTGTTGGAATTCAACTGACATTCAACCCTATCCAGATAACCATGATTAAAACAAATGTAATATGAAATAATAAACTATATTAACTCGTGCTCATGCCTAAGTGTATGATTAGAAATATGCTTCGTATAAGCATATGTATACAACTCGCCCATACACTAGCATACCAAGCCCTTTATTATAGGCCCAAAATATTTACACACATATAACACATAATGAGTTATTGACTTATAAAGTCATCGTATCCTCTTCTTCCTATATAGGACAAACTTACCCACCCGTCACCATTGAAGACTACTTACAACAGTGTCTGTGCAACTGGTATACAAAATAAAGTTCTAACTTAGATCAAGATTTGAAAAGATACAAGTTTGCAGCTCATCATTCATAGTAATCAATTCAACTTGCCAAACTACGATACTTCTGACTTGGGTATGGGCAGAAATTTAAATGACTGACTTGTCAAGGCTCAAATTTTAAAACGTTGTCAATAATTTAAACATGTGCAAGAGAACATGGCATCTTAAATTCTTGAGCACAGATTTCACCAATGATAATCTAAACTACAAAATATGAAAATAATTCATAGGAAAAATGTGGACTAACATTATTACTTATTCACTTGGCTTGAATATTTAACATCAACTTATATCTTTATAGCCTTTTGGATACATATATATATAAATACTCATCAAACCCATTTAAGCCATGTTAGACATACTCGTCTTTAGTGGTGGTTAATGTAGTGTACAAGTGTAACTGTGTAAGGTCAGGTAACGGGCATAGATTCAACAACTTTCTCCTTGTTGTACCATGTCCACCCACGTAAAATAGCGAAATTGCTCAATTCGGGGAGTAACATATAGACCCAACAAGGTGCCAACCCCTTTAAGAAGTCTTAAGTAATAAAAATCGAGGTTCCAACAGCAATAACCTCCATACAATGCTGCATTGACGTTGCAATATTGCATACATGTATCAGACCCCCTTATAAATCGCCTCAGTCGAAGCCATCGAACTATAAATAATAATGTTATGGACTTGTGGTATGTTTACACATGATTCATGTGACAGGTAAAGTTACTAGCTTACATAACACAATAAAAGCCCCATCCAAACCCACTTCGACAGAATGGTCTAGATTAACGCAATTTTATCCCTACAAAACGCGATAAATTCACATCTTTGAAAAAAGGCAAAAGCTGACAAGAACCCCAATACGTTAGAAAAGAGAACTAAATTTAGATTTATTAAAGTAAAATTAACATTAATTTACCGATCAACATGTGATTTTGTCACTAAGAACGTCTCTGTGCCATGTAGATAAGGGGATTTGAACACTCAACCTTTTCTAAGAAAGATAGTTACTTAACCATCTAAACCAATCATAAACTATGTTATAAACATGAAAATAAATGTATATAATTAAAGTAGCAACCGGTGCAACGTCCGGACTAAACACTAATTTTAAGTAATATATTGCTTAGTTATCTAACGCCTAAGGGCGCTTGCTAGCAAGATCCTTGAAAAAAGACGCACACACTCACATCGCAAGTCACAAAACTCACAATACACAACTGAAAAGCATTAAACAGAAAATTAACTTCTTAAAGACATATTATGATTTTATTTTTATTTTTTTTTTGCAGAAAAAGACATACTCTGTATTATGATGTTAGATATTCATTTTCATTAATTAGGGTAATAAAAAGGTATCAGTACGAAAAACCCCAAATTGAGGCAAAAACTAATGCGGAGTAGCAAATTCGGAAGAGCTAGATCTAATTTAGGTAAAATTTGCAATTACTACACATTACAATTAATTCTTGGAAATTTTGTCAATAACCACCAATTGTAGCCTCTGTTTTTTAAAACAACTACCTTTTAAAAAAAAAATTTAAAACAACTACCACAAAAATTTTAAAAGTTAGAATAGCATTACCACATTAGTATTTCCGGCTAGAATCTCCGGTGATAGGGGCCCACTTTTCTAGCCGGAAATACTAATGTGATAGTGCTACTCTAACTTTTAAATTTTTTGTGATAGTTGTTTAAATTTTTTTTTTTAAAAGGTAGTTGTTTTCAAAACAGAGGCTATAATTGGTAGTTGTTGACAAAATTTTCTTAATTCTTGCCATAATCAAGTAATATAAATATCTTCCAATCAGAATTAAGCAAAAGAAAAGATTCAACATTTCAAAGATAATTAACATAAACATATCAATATAATTGCATCACTTTAAAATTCATGATCATAAACTATAATTTTGTAGAATTTGAGAGTTTGATTGATTCAACGCAAATAATAATTGTAATTGACATAGAAAAAAGGTTAAATTGTTGAGTACATTACCTTTAATTTGCAGAAATTATAAAAAGTTTTTGAAGAGATAATCCACAATGTCGATGTTTTTGGCGGCAACAATACCAAATAAAACCATGAAAGCAACCACTGGTTCACTGTAGTCGATTAAAGCTGAAGTATACAGGAAAAGAAAAAAGAAAAAAAAAAATAAAAAAGGAAATAAACTTTTGTCACGCACCACACTCACACTGTCACTGGATCACGCACTCACGCCTTGTTTTTTTTTTTTCACCTAAAGGTCTAAAAACATGAACATGACAAAATACTTGTGAGTTGTGACTTTGTGAGTCATCGGTCATGAGCTCAGTAGCAACAAGAGTTGGTTTAAGTGGTAAGCGGTTTGAAGTCGTTTAAAAGAAATTTCGAGTTTCAGTCTCACCGAATGCCCAAAACTCTTATTAGGAGACTCGACCACCACAAGTCAGGTGTACAATTTGGGTCGTATTCGGATGTAGTCGGAGCGAGTAATATAAATTTATTATATATATAAGTGATGCCAAAAAAAAAAAAAAAAAAAAAAAAAAAAAAAAAAAAAAACAAGTTTTTAGAAACAAATGAAGTTTATGTGGTTAAAGAGTAATGTGTAAATGTGTCAAAACTAAAAGCATGAACGTATATTTAAAGATCGGGAGAATTACAGACCATTTAATATTCCACTAATTTTATTTTTGTATAATGAAACAATCACTTTGGTCAACATCTGGCCTTACAATTTCCCTTAAACTTTGTATTAATTACAATTAGTCATACATGGAGTGATGGACTGATGGAGGCATGGAAGGAGTGACTTCTTTTTAATATTTTATCATATGTCCATATTCATTTTAAACAAGCTTACACCTACAAAGTAATTATGTATAAATAGTGTGTTAACCAAAACTAGTGGCGGATCTTTATTGTAGTGGAGAGGGGTCCAATCCCTCCTAAGTTTTATTATAGTTATTGGTTATAATTAATACCAATTATGATGTTTGAAAAATACATATGAAAAGTTATATTATACAATTTAGGCCATGTTTGGTAAATGGCTTTTTAATGGCTTTTTTGTTAGCTTTTGATTTTTTTATGTGGTCAAACAGTCAAATTGCGTTTGGTAATTGGCTTTAATTTATAGTTAGTGAAAAAGCTGGTTTTTAAGCCAAAATGAAAAAGCTACTTAGAGTAGCTTTTTTTGTTGGTTGTTGGCTTGATGACCCACAAATTTTCTAATAAACAGCCAACAACCAACAATTAATTTACCAAACACTTTTATAAACAGTCAGCTTAAACAGCCAATTTCAAAAGTCATAATAAACAACCAAATATTCCAGCTGGTCAAACAAGTCAAGTGAACCATCCAACAGCCAAATGTTGGAGGATCAAACTTAACCCCAATTTAACGAAGATCAGACATATTTTATACTATTATGTAGGACATATATGTTTTTTCTTACAAAACTTACTATTATATGACTACATTAACATTGACTATATTGATCGGGGCGTACTTTTATTCTGAATTCTCAAATTTATACCATTTTTAAAGCTTTCTTTTTTAAGGCTACCTATATGGCATACCATTGATTCATAATTCTTAATAATGTATTAATGTTCATATTTTCTTAACAAATATTGAAACAAAGTTAATAAATTTTTTTAACTTTTAACAAACTATCTCATACAAAAAGTTAAATGAAACTTACTGTCCTTAACTATTGACTTAATTGTAGTAGACTAATCTTTCTACCCACCGCCCATACACACATTTAACTATTTAAGTACTACTTCTTTGATGGTAAATTGACAAAATTGTTTATCACATTTAATACATAAGTACAATATTATCTATATTTATCCTTTGAGGAGTTAAAAATGAAAACATATTACGTACAAAACAACTCCGATTGACCCTTACTAAAGTTATTTGATTTCACCGATCAATACATTAGTCGTTTGCCATACATTATTATTGGTAACCCTAAAAGCTACATACTTGTGTATGATACACACAGACGGAGTACTTGACATATACAAATAAATTGAGAAGAAAATTTCTAACCAAAATCTCACCTATCTATAGCCGCCTACTAATTAGCCTTTATTAAAATAGTTAAATAAAATTTTTATCTCTTTGACTAAACATTTATATATTGAAGATACCAAAAATGTCCATGATTTTTTCCATAACATGAAATTAAAGGCATAATTTTATAGTCCACATACATGGTCATAAAAATGTCCCACTACACTATACAACATTAACTATTATTAGGGCTGTAGTTGGCAGCTGCAACATTTAACTAGCCTCACCAATGCGTTGGAAATTAAAATTTCACAGGTACCCTTCATTTAAAACATTCACCTAAATTTTCCAGCATTTTCCATTTCTTATACCCCCCTCTTCTTCTTCTAACTCCTACCCACCATTCCACTTCTCTTATGATGCAACAAATATTATCTCTCTTTACTCACTCACTTCTCTAAATACTCGGCTCGGCTCGTTTACACCCCTTACCAGTTACCACTACCACACACTGTGCTATACAGAGTGTAAATACATACAATCATGGATTTCTCTTCTTACTACCACCTCATTTTTATCTCCTTAGCAATCCTTTTGATTACA